ATGGCTCTTACCGTGAGCTGGTTAACTACTTACCCCTTCAAACTCCCTGCGCCTGGGGAAGTTCTCATCTTTACACACGTCTAGCCCATGTTACCCCCAAAAAGTTGAAAAGTTGTGTTTTTAAGAGGTAAGACTATGGCTCTTACCGAAGTTGGTTAACTACTTACCCCTTCAAACTCCCTGCGCCCTGGGGAAGTTCTCATCTTTTACAGACAAAGTAGCCCATGTTACCCCCAAAAAGTTGAAAAGTTGTGTTTTTAAGAGGTAAGACTATGGCTCTTACCGAAGTTGGTTAACTACTTACCCCTTTAAACTCCCTGCGCCCTGGGGAAGTTCTCATCTTTTACAGACAAAGTTGCCCATGTTACCCCCAAAAAGTTGAGAAAAGTTTTGTGTTTTTAAGAGGTAAGACTATGGCTCTTACCGAAGTTGGTTAACTACTTACCCCTTCAAACTCCCTGCGCCCTGGGGAAGTTCTCATCTTTTACAGACAAAGTTGCCCATGTTACCCCCAAAAAGTTGAAAAGTTGTGTTTTTAAGAGGTAAGACTATGGCTCTTACCGAAGTTGGTTAACTACTTACCCCTTCAAACTCCCTGCGCCCTGATAAAGTTCTCATCTTTTACAGACAAAGTTGCCCATGTTGCCCCCAAAAAGTTGAAAAGTTGTGTTTTTAAGAGGTAAGACTATGGCTCTTACCGAAGTTGGTTAACTACTTACCCCTTCAAACTCCCTGCGCCCTGGGGAAGCTCTCATCTTTTACAGACAAAGTTGCCCATGTTACCCCCCAAAAGTTGAAAAGTTGTGTTTTTAAGAGGTAAGACTATGGCTCTTACCGAAGTTGGTTCAGGGAAACCCCCGGCGACCAGAGAAAAGCATGGTGGGGTCAACTACTGAAGTGGGTGTACCCATAAAAAGGAATACACATAAAACAAATCTCGCCTGGCACAGTCAAGCAGAAACCCCGTGTATAAAAATGGTACCTCCTCCCTTTTGATGAGAATGATAGGGGAGCCTCAAAACCTCGGAACAGATCTAGGCCTTCACTTTAAAACAATTTCACCGACTCAAAGACTACCCTTCCTCCTAACTCTGCACGTGTGTAGCGGAACGGTTCCTCTACAAAACCGGGTCCCTGTGCCACGCACCCCGATACCCCGAAAGAAAAAGAAAAAGAAAAAGAAAAAACGAGAACCGCCGGCGCCTTCCTCACCTCCAGCTCCGCCGGCTTCATGGCAAAGGCGCTGGTCAAGTTCCGCACCTCCGATCCCCAACTGGCGGCTGACCCAAACCGAAGCTGCCCCAAGTGGCTACATGGGGGGGGGAGGGGAAAAAAAACGCCACGAGGTATAGCCACGAGAAAAAGGAGCCACGAGAGAAAGGGTATATACCTCCCAATTTTATCTGGGGGTAGTGGCTTGGGGTAGTGCAAACCATCATAGAAACACGCGGTTGAACCCCAAAAACCCGTAATGGGCAACGCATGGTTGAAAAACGCATGGGGAACCCCAGAAAAACACCCTTAGGCCCGCAAGGAAACCGCAACCATTGAGTTTTACTGATTGGTTCGGTTCGGAGCTTGTGGGTAGCTTCCCATAAAAACCCTAAAGAACTCTCATTTACCGTCCGTTGAACCAGGGGTTCAAATCCCCAAACCACAAGTTAAGGACTTCCTGACTAAAGGCTCATCCACGCTCCTTATTTGCCCAGCAAGTCAGCAACCCAAAGTTTCCTTTACACAAAAGCCACAAACTTGTGGGTGCACTCGGAGTAACTTCCAGCTGACAAACTTGGGAGATAACCAAGTTGCTGGTGTACTCCGAATGTCCTTAGCCTATGAACATGGCCCTCCTGAGTGGTCAGAAACAGGCTGATTTGCTTTTGGTTCCACTGGGATCACAACACGCCGTAGTCAGAAGTGAAGCGAGACAACCAAAGTGGGTGCTAAATCATTTGCGGCTTAGAGCAAATCCCACCCCCGCATGTTCCCAGACTCGAGGACGAGCTCTTGCGAAACGAGGCAAACACTGAAACCATCTGTGTCATCATCAAAACGTCGTTTGGCGGTCTACCCCAAACCCAAACGCACAACAGGACTTCTGGCGCATTTGGTTGAAACTGCCCCTGAGCTTCACATACCCCGAGTCAGCTTTGATTGGTGAAGCCACATTGCAGGCTAAGACCTAGGCCATCAACCACTTTCTTTCGCGAACACCCAGGGGCAGGGAACCCAGAAGACTTCTACAGGCGCAGCCCTGGCTCTCCTTGAAGGACAGAAGACTCGTACCATCCCACACTGAACAAAAGCACATACACACACATCCCAAACCTGGATGTGGCTTAAAATCTAACTTCCAGGTGTTAGTCTACTTGTCCATTTCCCAGGGCAACCCATTTTGGGCCATACAATACAAAACAAAACAAAACAACGAACACAAATAAAATACCTGCCAAACACGTGTCACCCACCCACCCTCCCCTTCCTCCCAAAAAAAATCAATTGCAAACACCTGCTGTCAGGCGACCGTGCTGTCAATGAGCTGCGCCACCACGTCCGGGCTCTCGCGGAAGCCCTGCACCAAAACCCGGACCTCGGGGCTGCGGGGCCCAGACTCGGGCGTCGAGTGTCTGTTGAATTTTCCTTTCTGGTGCGATAGGTAGGGAATGAATGAACCTGAGGATTCCCGAAGAAAGGAAAGCACCAGTTGGATGGTTAGGGGTCATTCCATTTCTCATTCCCTGCTGAGGACCAGCTAGTTTTGTTTCTCTGCTGAACGGCGTGCGTGGTCCCCGTGGTACCTGGGAAGTAACGGAATGTTGCTGTTACTCTCCCCCAACCCCCCCCCCAAAAAAAAGAAAGAAAGAAAGAAGAAAAAGTGGAAGGTCCGGTTTCTCTAAAGCTTTTGAGGGAACCCTTCTCTGTGGCTGGGAGCCGCCGAGCTCCCTTCAAAGGCAAACCTTAACTTGGTCGATATGTGTCATCCACGCGCGAGAGCCTGCGCGAAGCGGGGAAGGGGACAGGGCGGTCTAAAAGACAGTTGGGTGGCTCGTCTTTTCTTGATGGCCCTTCTTGTTGGTAGGCTTTCAGGCAGACTGAAGGGAAACCAACCATTTTTGGTGGTCCCCCCAACAAGAGACGTAGCCAGTTTGGAGGCAGGGGTCAAAAAATGGAGGGAGCCAGATGAAGCCAGCTCAATTTCTCGACTTGTCCAGATCTTTTTGCTGTGTCCTTTGTGGCTCCCTCGTGGAGTTCCTTTGTTGCTCATTGTTGGTCCTCCTTTTGACAATCATCTTTCTTGTTGCTTTTGTGAAGAGTATGTTTGTTTGTTGATCCTTTTTTGCTCTTTGTGTTGCTCGTTGTCGATCCTCTTTGTGTTTTTCTTCTTGTTGCTGCTTCTTTGTTGATTCTTTCTGTGTGTTGATCCTTGTTTGTTGCTTTTTGTTGATCCTGTCAGGGGCAAGTCCAGAAAACCCATCACAAACCATGGGCGCGGCAACCCGGGAAACAGGCAGGGATGTTGTCAAAGTCTAAGGTCAGCTTCCTCCAACTGGTGGTGAATGAGGGGTTTCCCATTAACCTCACTGCCTGAGTGGATGGCCCAAAACAAGTCCAAACTTTAAATTTACCACCAAAATGGTCTTCCCAAAAAGTGACTAAAGTTCATGAACTCAGGAAGTGAGTAACCCCTTACACGAACCAGGGCTCAAATCCCAAAGCCACCAATCCAAACCACCAACTCGGGGTGTGTCTGATAATACTTACCCCTTAAAACTCCCTGCGCCCTGGGGAAGCTCTCATCTTTTACAGACATATAGCCCATGTTACCCAAAAAGTTGAAAAGTTGTGTTTTTAAGAGGCAAGATAAGGGGCTGATCCCGAGAAAGCCACCCTCCAAGAACACGACGCACGAAATCCGTGCAGCCAGCCGCGCCTCCAAGATGTCCATGTGCGCGGTCGCGTAGCCGAAGACCACGTAGCCCAGCTGATGCTCCGTGCGCAAGGTCTGGAAGACCGGGCGGTCGATGACCCCGCTGATGAGGCTGAACCTGGGGATGTGCCAAAGCTTTGGGTGGCTTTGGGAGGCGGGGGGGGGGTCTCAACCATTGCTGTGAAGTGAAAACCCGAGGAAAACAACATTTAAATCAAGTGATCATAGGTCTAAAATGGTTCCAAATTGGAGGGGAGGGTCTGGACAATGCACATGACTCCACGAAGCAAACATCACACCAGCCAGACATCATCAGTTGGCTCAGCAGGTGACGGTCAAACTGGCTGTTCAAAGGAAACTACAGAAAGCTCGTCCCTGACCAATAGATACACCGGGTGCCCATTTAGCTTCCACATGAAACATGCAAACAATTCTCCCTCCACACTCCAATTCGCAAAATCCGTTTCGCAGTGCCCGGCGCTTCCCTTTTCCTCCAAACAGGGGGTACCCTCAAAAAGACAGGGGGAGATTCCCACAACAAAACCCGACATGCCTTAAACGTCTGTGCAACCTGGATTCCTGCAAAGTTTCAGTGGATGTTTCACGACAAAGACATCTGTCCTGATCAAATAAAAGCACGCCAAATGCTTCAAGCAATCGCCCGACTCACTCTAAAGACCCAGCAAGTGCTCACAAGCCCGTTGCAATTCAAACCAACCCCCAAACCAAGCCCAACTCTCAAGAAGCCCCCCAAAAAAAAAAACAGCCCGCCAACAGCCATCCGCCAGCATCGAGTCCCGCCAGAGGTCCCGCTTCGTCCCGCTTTAGCCATGCGGCCGCACGCGGTCCGCCAGGGAGGGCACGCCGAACTGGTACGCCGCGAGGGTCACCGAGTTGGGGTCCTTGGGGATGGGGTTCCCCACTCGCACCTCCAGCTCCTCACGCGGACGCGGAAGGGCGCGGAAGGACGCGGTCCCGCGAAGGAGCAAGGGTCCTTTGGCAGAATGCGTGAAGGCTGCACTGCGGATCCGCGAGGAAAAGGAAACATGCACCAGGCGGTGGAAACTCTGTGGGCCAAAACAGCCCGCTTCGAAAAAATGATCGGGCCCCAGGCCCTCTCAGAGAGTCGTAGTCCAAAGATATAAGGCTTGGAAAACCTACATGACCAATGCAGGTTTTGGCGTCGCTCGAGCCTCTTTGAAGGGTATGGTATGGTTTACGCATCCTGCACACAAACTAACAAATACACACACATGGCAGATTCCGATCTTTCGATTGGCATGCCATGTGCCTGCTGAAGGGCACGTCCGGTCGACAAGCCAAAAGCGATGGTTTCAACTCAGCTCGCCCTTTCGTCGGACGTTGTGCCCCCCCCAAAGGCGGATGCGACGTTCCGATTCAACACCTAAGTTGCCAAAACCCCTTGGATCTTCTTCGCTTCCGGGGCACGCAATCTGTGTTACAACCAAAAGGCGCCCTGCGGTTCCGGTTTACAGTGGAACCCTTCGATTTCCACTCAGCTGTTGGCTCCTTCTGGAGGTCAAGCACCAAGGGATCATAGGCCGCGCTGCCTGCGGACTGCGAACTGCTAGTGCCTGGTAAGGGGTGCCATGACCATAGCACATGTGGTTTCCCACAAGGAAAACGATAGTTGTGGGGTCCTCCTATGTCCTCAACATGTGATTTACCCCCTTTCCAAGAATCATAGAAGTGAGGGCTTTGCACAAACGCCAGTCCTCCAAAGCCTTCTAGCAAAGGCGCAGCTGACTCGTTTTGGCCGCGCCAGCTTTGTGACTCGTTTCCAAAACACAAGAACCGGGGCACGGAGAACAATCACCTCCCCAAAGATCCCATGGAACCTGAAAGGTTCCTTGGAGAAAGTTGCTGAGGAAAGTGGTCTTAGGAGCCCCCTTTCAGCTTGTAGGTTTGGGAGGCATCATGGAAAAAAATGATCCTCAGCGGTAAACTCCGAGCAACTCAGCGGTTCAAAGGGAATCGACCCCCCTGCAAAAAGTTTAACTTTTTGGGGTTTAGTGGAAAACCCCTTGATTTCCCAAAAAGTTAAAGTCTAAACATCCAACCCAATAACAGTCAAGGTCTTGACCTCTTTGGTCGCCACATTTGGTCCATGCTTAGCCATGGCCAGGGGATCGCCTCTAAATTTTGTGGGCTTCCAACCGGGGGTTCAAGGGTTGTACCCAATCAAACGGGTAACCAGGGCACCCCAGGTTTAGTCTTCGGCTTCATTTTTTCGGGGGTCCCAAAATGGGGACAGATTTTCGATGGCCAAACGGGAGGGGAAAAGAAAGGAGAAAAAAAACCTTCCGGCCGCTGTTCCCTTTTATTGGTCCCCCCCGGTCCCTTCCCGGTCCCCCGCCCGCCACGGCTGGAACCGAAGAGGAGGTGGGTGAAGCGCAGCCAGAGGCGGCCCAGCAACCCCCGGCGCGGGGCCAGGATGGACTGGACCTCTGCCATGAGCTGCTTGGACTCGTCCTGGGAAGGCTTGGCTCTTGTTTGGAGGTTGCGGGGGGGGGGGGGGTGAGAGGGAGGGAGAATGGGTTGGGGGAGGGTGGGAGGGAGAGAGGGAGGCACGTGGCGCCAAGTTGTTTATATGTGTTAGTTTATTTTTCAGGGGGGGGGGGGGAGGAGAATGGATTTGGGGGGGGGTTGGGTTCAGGGGTGTTGGGACTTGCCCAAAGAAGCCACAGATAGCCAAAGATCAAACGGAAATCTGGGGCCCATAACAAGCCCCGCCCACAGAACTTGCAGATGGGTTACCCTGGACCCTTCTTTCCTCCCCAGAAATGGGGGGGTTCAGAATCCAAAGTGCAGATGGTTCCGGAACAATCAAAGGGGATGTTTCTCAGCCCACCCAAAGGTCACATTCGGCCGAGTCACTCCTTTAATTCAATTTAACATCCCAGCTACCACTACAGGAAGTAGCCAGGAAAAACCATCACGTAAAACTGAGAGGTAAACATGCACCTGGCTCGGGCAGATCTAATGTCTATCAAAAAAAGAATGTATCTCTGTGTTGTGAGAGCGGGCATTAGGTTCAAGGGTTGAAAAGTAATAGATGAACTCATCTAGTAGAAATATCATATTGGTGGGTCTTGAAGACTCACTTGAAAACGGTTTAGAGAAGAGAATTGGGGGTTGGACAGTCAAAGGAGAGCTCCCAAAGGTCTAGCCTGGCACCTACTTGCAGCGGCTGAACAACTCCCCGAAGCCTCCCCTTTGGGCATCACTTTTCTTCCGGCGCTGCTTGGCCTCCGGAAAACAATGTCCAAAACAAAACAGCCCTGGGCATTTTTCACTCTGGCGATTCCTTGCCTCCGGAAACATTTCCCACAAACCCCCTCATCATTTTTCTTCTGGCGCAGTTTTTGCCTCCGGAGCCCCCCCCCAAAAAAAAAAAAACCTGTGCCTCCGGAAAATGTCCCACAAAAAGCCCTGGGGTCCTGGTCGATGTTCCCGGTGACCAGCATGGAGATCTTCGGCTCCTCGAACATCTCGTCCAACATCGCGCCCAGCTCCCCGAGGCTCACCGCCCACTCCTCGGCTCTGCGAGGCTGCGCTGGGCCTGGGGCCTGGGCCCTTGGACTCCAACCAACCCCGGCTGGGGCATGCTCAAACCCTGGGTTCGGGTGAAGGTTGGTAAGAGACAGACACCAAGTAATTAGGTGCGGATAGCCGGCTTGGTTGTTCTTTACATCGGGTTTAGATGATTTGGACGCCAACAGTTTTTGAATCACCCGTGGCATTAGGAAAATTCAATAGAAACCAATGGAGACCAATGGAAACCGGACACCAGTTGTGTGTTTCCATTTTCCTGGACTTTTTGCCTGTCACTCGGTTGGCCTCGAAGGCACCGGAACGCCCCCCCCCGCCCCCCCCCCGCAGCCCCAAGCCCCGCCCTTCCGAGCTTGAGCTCCATCACATCGAGGCGCGTCGCGTGCCGCCGCCAGGGTGGCGGCGCGGGAGAAGGTGTTCTTCACAGTGACGACCTCAAGTCGATGGGCACGAGTTTTGACTAGTGGCCCGTTGGCAGACATCAAATTCGGAGGACATTGTCCACCAACCACCGTTTGACATAGCCATAATATATCTCGGTTGCCTTCTGCTCCCCTGCTAAAAGTGACTAGCTTTTGGTAGTTTAGTACGGAAAGCCCACTAGGGGGCAAAAAGTTAAAGTCTTAACATCCCTTGGCAAAATGCACCAAAAAAGGTTGAGGCGGATCGTCGGCCATGGAAAAACATGGGCAGCACACCTTTTTGTAGTTGTTTTGTGCCACTTTAAAAGCCCATGCAAAACATGGGCAGCGCCTCTTTTTTGCCTTTGGAGCCCAGACCGGCAAAAATTGAAAGAAGAGGCAATTTTCAAGATGTTCAAGAAGATTTTCGGGCACCCCCTTCCCCACTTGCAGGGTTCCCGTGCTTTGTCTTGTTCACAGGGTGTCCAACCTCTTCCCCCGCTGGCTTAGCACTCCGAGTTGTTGATTTTGAAAGAAGAAGACTTGGAGACCTGTGGTCCGTTCGGTGCATGGTGAAAACAAACTAAAGAGAAAGGGCGATTTGAGGTGCCACTGGACAACTGAGCTTTGAAGATAGGCAAAAAAAACCTAGGGGTGACAATTGGAAAACTGGATTAATGACCCCCCCCCTCCCGCAGGCAGAAGAGTGCGATCTCAGAAGCGTTTCAAGCATCCGGTAGAACATAAGGAAAGAGGATGAATCACAAACTCTTTGGAAAAAAATACAAGAAAAAGAAGACAGACAAAAAAGAAGAAGAAAACAAAAAGAGCACTGTCTACATGTCTGGTTCCTTGTTACGTTGGGTTCTGCCAGTTTGGTTCCTTTGTTTTAGCCCCGGCCACCAGCCCCGTCAAGGGCCGTCAAAGCGCCTCAGAAGAGCCCGCGCCTCAAGCGCCTCCATGGCGTGCTGGTAGGGCTGCTGCCTGTCAGGCGGGGGGTTGGTCTCCGGTGTGGCTCAAAACTGGGCTGCCCGTTTTCAGATCCCCCGCTAAAAGCGGCGGCAACTTTTAGTGGGTGAAATTCGGAAATCCAACCACTCAGCACTAAAAGGCTAAAAGGCTAAAAGGCTAAGGAACCGGATGGCTGGGCGCCAAGAAAACTACAGAGTTCGGGTTGCGCAGGTTTTAGTCCTTGGCTCTATTTATGCAGGGTGCCATTTTGGGCGCCTTGCTCCGAGCCACGGCGGAGTCCCCAAGAGCAAGCGGGGAAAAATCCCTGGAGCTCGGCTGGGGCGCTCAACTCCCCCCTGATTCCTGACCCCCCGGATCGGATTCCATTGTCTGCATGTAATGAACGGTGCGTCCCATGTAGGCAACCCAAGGGTGGCTTGGATTGCTGGGAACCGGGGTTCTGAACTGGAGGTTTAAATGCGAAGACTCGCCCTAGCTTCCGAACCACCAAGCCAAACCACCAATCAGGCGGAAGCCGACCATTAGGCATATCTTATGCAACTAACAAACACATGTATGCTTGTTTTGCAAGTATATGTAGATCTGCGAAGCGCACCCACACATATGCGGGCTGGTTGCTTGCAACTTGTTTTGCTCGCCTACTGAGAATGAAAGCCCCGCTGCTTGTGCTGAGCTGCTTTCATCCGGCAGTTGTGAAAAGAAGAACGTGTTCTCTCTGAGGGAAGCACGGGAAAAACCCGAGACTCCACCACTGAAAGCAAAACCTAGCCGCACCGTCCACCCAAGCCAAAGAATTCAACCACCACCCCACCGTGGTCTCAATCCCTTCTTTGGGCGACGCAAGGAATATGGGCCAATATTGACCCCATAATCAACCCCGGTTCAATCATAGGTGGGGCCGAAAGTGATGATCCCCCACTAAACCCAGGGAAAACCCCCTTACTCATAAACAGGGATTGACTAATATGGGGTAAACAGTATTTGTCGCGCACCACATACTGAACATTGCCAGCACACTCTCACTATGTTTGCCATGGACACCTTTGCCGCTGGCACGCGCGGCTCACGGAACGACTGAACAGAGTCAACACCCTGTGGGGCGCCAAACAACAAACGAAATGCCAACCTCACAAATGACTCCCCAAAGAAAAGAGCATACATCTGGGTGCAATAACCTTCCCAATGTTTTTTCAAAGCATGCCAAGAACAAACCTGGCAATCTGCACTAAAAAATGGCACCGAGCCTAACAAAAACATGAGTAGCACCCTGCAAAAGAGCAAAAGTGGGGCTGACTCCAAGAAGGAAACAAACACGCGGGACAAACAACGTGACTGGATCAGGAATTATGGACTTGGCAGGTGCTTGGGACGCAAAAAAGAAGTGCTTCCCGCCACAATAATAGTACACTGGACCCACAAGACTGAAAAAAATATGCCCCCAAAAACAGTTGGAGCAGAAACAAAAGGCACCTGAAAAACTCAGTGCCAAAAAATGGGGGGCTAGCAAAATGAAACAACACCAAGACCAACAAAATCCCCAAATGGCATCTTGGATGGAAAAGACTTCAACCTGTGGCTTGCCCCAGCTAGTTCACCCCGAGCCACCACCTTTAGGTCTTTGGACGGTGGCCACCCGAGTCCGAGTCCGAGCGAATCCCCGCCCGGTGACGTCCGCGAGGTCGAGGATCAGCTGGCGCCTGGCCACCTTTCCGACGAGCGGACGGGCCGAACCCCCCAGCCCCAGCCGCCCAAAAATAGGTTAGACTCTGGGATGTTCAACCAACTCAGCAAGTAGATTATGGGGCTTCTGCTCAGGATGGAGACGCAGAGTGACGTGCGATTGGGGGCTGTTTGGTGGACAGCATGCCATTTCCAACGGCATTGCGACCTTCCCCACAAAAGGCGCACCCAAAAGAGCCTACTACCCAAAAAATGTTTTTATGGTTGAACAGTACTAACCAGAAATTGCTTGTTGTGGTTGACTAGTAACATCGGTTTCTGGTGCTACCAGTCATTCACAAAAGGAATTCCGCCCACCAAACACCACAAACACATGTGGCCCGTTGCAACCAGGGAACTTGCACTTCTTGATTGAAGGGATCGCCGTTCCACGGGGTTTCCCTCCGTCCCGCCTGCAACATTACCCTGAAAACAGTTAGCGCAACAAGCGATGCGGACAGAACCAAAGCAGACACTCTAAAGCCTGACAAATCGCACCCGTGTTGAAGTCCTTTGGGGTCAGTTTTTCAAACACCAAAACCTCAGCTTGTTCTACATTTATGAACTTCTTACTGCGCTGTGTCTAGAACAACTGAAAAATCTCACATCCCTTTGTCAAAAGGTCCCAAACATAGGGGTCCTCTCATAAAACACAAAGATTAGAGAACCCATCTATGTTCAACCAAACTCGCCCCAAACCGACCATGCCAGCAAAACCAGCCAACTCACCTGAGAAGGCGCCCAATAACTGCAGATTACGTAAGGCGTGCCCAACAACTGCACAGATGCCCAAAATGTAGAGATCCCGCCTGAAAGCTGCTAAGATTGCAAAAAACTGCCACGCAAAGTGGAACCACCATTCTCTGCTCACATTCATATGCACGTCAATAATCGTGCTAGGCGCTCGCCGCAATTCGAAGAACAAACAACGTACGGGCGACATCGCGCACTCGGACATGGAAACGTTCACAGAACTCACGGGCATCACTCGGAAACCGGAGCACCGATGTTGTTGTCGCAAAACAAAATCACGGCGCCAACTTTCGCGCACACCGTTCTCCAGGTCTGCCTGGGCACAAACACAGAAAATCACACGATAACGGAAATGCGTGACACGGCAAATCGCACAGTTTGACTGAGCCATAGCCTGGCGGCCCAGCTCCCAGTGGAAGCTGGAGGCAAAAACATGTGAAGAAACAGGCGCTCAGGCCTTCCGTGCACGTTTGAAGGGTCCGACCACATAAATCAAAAAAAATGGTTGGACTGGTCGCGTCACTAGTCGGACTGGCCTATATCCTTGACGTCTCTGCAGTTTGTTTTACGCCCAAAAAACTGCAGATCCCGCCCCAGAAATAGATCCGCACAGCCAAAAGGCCATGCCCAACAACCCAAGACCATGCCCAAACACATATCCTCCAAAGGCCATGCCCAAAAACCCTTGACGGCCACGCTGGCCAACCGCAACCAAGGCAATTGAAACCTAAAACGATGCCCAAAACCTGCAGAACCTCCTGCGCGACGGCCTCGAAGTCCGCGGCCGAGATTTTGGGCCGCCGAAGCACCGGGAGCACCAGGCGCACGAGTTCCACCAGGTGCCTTGGGAAACCACAAAAGGAATCTAGGGCCTGTTGCGGGGGCCCGACTTGTTGCCTGTGTGTTGCTTGGTTTTCCCTTTGTTTCCCATTCCTCCGGTGCCCACATGAAAAGGGGGTGTTCCCTCAAGACTGTTGAATCTCTCCAATCACTTGGAACTCGAATGGGTGTGCCTTTGTCGGGGGTTCCCAAAATGGTTGTTTTCTTGCGGGTTTCCCTTTGAAACTCCAAAAATCCAGGGCCCTCAAAAAAGATGTTGTTTCCTTCCAGACCAATGGTTTGACCCCGAAGCGATTCTCAAACTGAACATGGCCCCCGAATGGAGAATCTTTGGGCCGTCCGGGGGTCTCGCACCTGGGATGGACTCAACTCCCTAGACCCCAGCAATAAAGATCTGAATCGGGATTCCCAAGTATCCTTGAGACAAAAACCCAAAAACATCGAGAAGCCACCAGTGGGTTTGTTGTCTTTGACGGGGTTTGGAGAGGGTTCACCGAGGAAAGCATGGGGCTGCGTGTAAACAAAAAACTTGTCACATAAACACAGGTGTGTAGATATGTATGAATATACATATATATATGTGAATATGTAAAAAATGTAAATATATACATATATACGTATATATATATATACACATACATATACATATATGTATATATGTATATGTATATGTGTATGTATGTGTATATGTATCTGAATATGCATATGCATGAGCATATGCATATGCATATGCATATGCATGCGCATATATATGCGCATATGCGCATATGCGCATGTGCGCATGTGTGTGTGTGTGTGTGTGTGTGTGTGTGTGTGTGTGTGTGTGTGTGTGTGTGTGTGTGTGTGTGTGTGTGTGTGTGTGTGTGTGTGTGTGTGTGTGTGTGTGTGTGTGTGTGTGTGTGTGTGTGTGTGTGTGTGTGTGTGTGTGTGTGTGTGTGTGTGTGTGTGTGTGTGTGTGTGTGTGTGTGTGTGTGTGTGTGTGTGTGTGTGTGTGTGTGTGTGTGTGTGTGTGTGTGTGTGTGTGTGTGTGTGTGTGTGTGTGTGTGTGTGTGTGTGTGTGTGTGTGTGTGTGTGTGTGTGTGTGTGTGTGTGTGTGTGTGGGTGTGGTGTGTGGTGTGTGTGGGTGTGTGTGTGTGTGTGTGTGTGTGTGTGTGTGTGTGTGTGTGTGTGTGTGTGTGTGTGTGTGTGTGTGTGTGTGTGTGTGTGTGTGTGTGTGTGTGTGTGTGTGTGTGTGTGTGTGTGTGTGTGTGTGTGTGTGTGTGTGTGTGTGTGTGTGTGTGTGTGTGTGTGTGTGTGTGTGTGTGTGTGTGTGTGTGTGTGTGTGTGTGTGTGTGTGTGTGTGTGTGTGTGTGTGTGTGTGTGTGTGTGTGTGTGTGTGTGTGTGTGTGTGTGTGTGTGTGTGTGTGTGTGTGTGTGTGTGTGTGTGTGTGTGTGTGTGTGTGTGTGTGTGTGTGTGTGTGTGTGTGTGTGTGTGTGTGTGTGTGTGTGTGTGTGTGTGCGTGCGTGTGTTTATTTGTACATCTTCGGCTAAATGCAGCTTAGTGTTGGCCAGCGGCTCGTTGAACCCGGAGAACGACACGCTGAGCCCGTCGTTGGCCGCCGCCACCCCGTAGCCCAGGCCGCACATCTGAAACGCGTCCGAGGGCTCCTCCAGGGCCTCAGGCCGAGCAGTGCAGCGCTTCGTCGCGCCTCGTGTGGCGCGTGCCTTCGGTTGGTTTCCTACATCTTTCATGTGGTTAAGGCGCCTGGAAAAATATGGTAAAAAAAAAAGAGTGTTAGATTCCCTTTTAAAAAACCAACAGGGGAAAAATATTCTTAAGCAAATCAAAGAAATGAGTGGTGGTGCTTATTCCCTTTAAACTTGCATTAACGTATCAAACCCTGCGCGACCGCAGTGCGGCGCCATTTTTTTGTTGATACGTCAACATCCACACATGTTTGCTTGAGTGGAAAAACAAAAAGCCACTCAAATGGGTGTGGCTCAAAATTAAAGAGGCAGGCTTATGCAGGCTTCGGTTTTTCCATTTACCTAGGGGCCGTTTTGGGTACATTGTTTGAGCCAAAGCCAAATGGCTATGGGTCAAAAATCAAACCAGGCAGGGGAAAGTAGGTTTTAGTCCGCAGGCTTTAGCCCTTGTTTCCATTTACCAGGGCTCCATGTTCGGTACCTATTTTTGACCCACACCCAAATTGGGCGTTGGAGCGGGGGGGGGTCCCTTTTCTGTTGGTTTCCCACGATAGTTTCCTCGGGTTGCTGTGGAGCTTGAAGGGAGGCCCCGTTAAAACATGGGGTGTTTCCATTGAGGTTGGCCTTTGACCAGGCCTTTTTGGGTGGACAAGTTTGGTGGGAGGCCAGGTGAGGAAGTGGATAGTAGCCAGGCTGCAAAGCAGACCCGAAGCGTCCCTTAGGGGGGCGAGGGGAGCACAAAAAGCTGCAAATAAGAATATGCCTTTTTTGTTAAACCACCCCCCCCCCAAAAAAAAAAAAAGAACAAGAAAGAGAACACATAACTTGGCTGGAATTAGGACCCCAGCAAAAAAAATGTTTCGTCTGGTTAGTGGAAAACAAAGGGAACCTCAAAAAAGCAAAAAACGCAAAAAGGGGAGCGAATCTTGGGAAGATAACACGTCCCGGGGTGTGAGGGGGGAAGGTGGCTTCGGGTCTCTGCGGCTCGTGGCGCCAGCTTCACCAGGCGCGCGTGCACGGCCGCCAGCGCGCTGCGCGCTGCGGTGCCCACGACAGAGCGGTCGAAGCCCAGCTTCAGCTGCAGCTGCGCCTCGCGCGAAGGGTGTCCCCGGCAGGGGCGGGGGTTCGGGGAAGGAGTGGGGGTGGGGGGAGTCGGGGTGGGGAGGCTTGGGGGGAAGGGGGGGGAGCGCGAAGGACGCGAAGGAGGCGAAGGACGTGCCTCTAGCGGGAGGCTTTTTCCCGGCTGCGGGGGGGGAGGAGGGGGCAAAAAGGGGGAGAGGGGGGGGGGGGGAGGGGAAATGTGGCTGGTTGCACAAATGGCCTAGATTAGACTTCCACTTGCTTAGGCTGCAAGTGCCACATGCGTCTGTGTACCTCTCATCGTGCCGATTCTAATGGGGAAAGGGCCCACTGTTGCTCCCACAATCTTGCCACCACCCTCACCCCCCCCCCCCACAAACCCTCAAGCAAGGCTATCTGGGCCAAACGTCATATCTCCAGATTCTGGCAGCCAGATGGAGCCTACCCCAAGGTATACATGCTTCAGCCACAGGGAGCCGACCTGGCTTCCCAATAAAGAACACAAACTTGAGGGGCAGAACCACCGCTGCCAACTGGGGAACCAAACAAAATAAACGTGCTTGGCACTTTGCTTTTGGCTTACCTGCCTTCATCCAATGCTGTGCTAAAGGCACAGCACTTGGACCGTGAAACCGGGGTGACTAGATATCCCCCTTCAAAAGTTGATCAACTTACTGGTTTCTTGGTGGTTTCCATTGAAACCCTAACCCTTTGAAGGGAAATGGCCCCGGAAACCCGGCAAGAACTGCCGAGTTGGACACCCCTTTTGGCCAATTTGCTGGTAGTTTCCATTGAAAACGATCGGGCTCCCTTCAAGGGGAACTTTTTCGGAAAACCCGTTGGACGCCCCTTTGGCCTGTGAAACCCAACCCCACCAGCTCCAAGGGGGTTCTGCTGAACCAACTGGGCTCCCTTCCAGCCAACTAGCTTCGGGCCCACCCTTTCGCCTCTGAAACCCCAACCCCCCTCCTCGTCCCCTCCCCTCCCGGCATCCTACCGGCTCCCTTACCACCAACTCAACTCGCTTTGGCCCAACCTGCACGCAATATATATATATATAACCCTTCCCTCCCCGTTTGGCCTTGGGCAGTTGGAAGCGCCCCAGGCCCAGCCACCAGAGCTGCGGCTCCGACTGGGCAGTCGCCACTCGGCCACTCGGAACCCTTCCAGCTTCTTCCCGTTTGGGCCGCGGGCTTGGCTTCTTTGATTTTGGGGTTTTCTAGGAAACCTACCCAAAGAACCGGAACCGGAAATTTAGAATATTTGGCGCGCTGGAGTCGTTTCTTTGTGCTCGTTTTTTCTTTTCTTTCTGTGCTTTTGTGTTTTTTCGTCTTTGTTTTCTGACCCTTTCAAAAAGGGATGCACGCGCGTTGCCATGATGGCCATGACATCTGCGAAGTGGTCCCAAAAGAAACTGATCCAGGTACCCTCCCACAGGTGCCATGTTATGTTTTTTGTTGTTGTTTTTTCCTCTGACCCTTTCAAAATGGAAACGTATCAAGAAAGGGGTGGCAACCCATGTTTGAAGGGTAGAGATTGGTACTGTGAAAAGACGAGTTGGAGAGAATGGGAATTGGTGGCCCCTCCAGCTCAAAACAGAAGGAATCACCCCCTCTCTCAGTGTGTGTGTGTGTGTGTTTAGGAGTTGCTAGCCCTCCTTTGAAAGGGAAACAAGAGAAAACAAACTGCTCATTTTTTGTCTGAATTCCCAGAAGAAAAAAAAAGGAAACTCATTACCTTGGTGGCTGCAACGACCCCAGCCGCAAAAAGTTGACTCTTGGTGGCCCCCCCTGTAAGCATCAAGGGTGGTGCCGACCGATGGTCTTCCTCGAGCCAAAGGACCCTCCCCGCGGGGCCACTAAGACACCTCCGGGTAGTGGTCTGCTCTTTTGGGACCAAAAAACTAGGCTGGAAGAAGGGGACCACGCCCCCTCGGTTTGAGACACTTCTTTGGGGAAACCCCACTCAACGCAAAAAAATGGAACCACGTCTCTAGGCCCAGCAAAAAATTACCTTTTTTGCCTGGTTAGTGGAAAACAAATAGGACCCCAATAAAGCAAAAAATCCAAAAGGGAGCTAATTCTGGCAAAGCAAACTGATGGCTTTCCTTCTGGTTTCCCTTAGAAACCAACCAAGCGGGGTAAACTTCGAAAAACAAAATGAAGATCCACCTCTGGCGCTGTTGACAACGGAGCCCCCCCCCCCGAAAACGGCAGAAATTCCCCCACCAACTCCAAAAAATGGACATGCACCCCAAACAAATTCCACCCAGCCAAGAGCCGGCGGACTTTTGCGCCGTACATTCAGCGGAAGATGCCGCCTCCGGCGCTGTTTCCTTCTCCGAAGCGCCCCCCAAAACTTGGTTGACGTTGGAAGGGAGGCAAAAACACATTTTTTAGCAGTGAAGTGGTTGGATTTCAGCCACGCAAAACCACAAGAAGCGAGAATGTAAACAATGTTTCCCCACGACATCCATGACTTCATGTTGACCCCATATTCATCAACTCCTGTTTATTCACTGGGAGCGTCCCTGGATTTTGCGGGGTGTCACCAAAAATATGGATGAAGCCACCCTCAAAACCGCCAAGATCCAGGTGCCACGGTGCGCCCGCCGCGCCACGGAAACCCGGAAATATATACATATGTATTTATGTTTTTATTTATTTATTTTTGTTTAAAAAAAATGAGAAGGAAAAAAAGAGGAAAACAACTCCGCCTGCAGCTTGTCCGGGACCTTCCGCCGCTCCGCGGAGATCAGGCCCAGCGCCTGGGGCACGAAGCGCGGCGCCGGGGGCGCCGCCAGGGCCGCGGAGCTGGCTGAGGCCCAGCGGCGCACCAGGGCCTCCGGCAGCGGCTCCTGGGGATACAGAGGGGCTGGGAGGGGAGGGGAGGGGGGGTAGAGGGGGGGAAGGAGGGGAGGGGAAGAGGGGGGGTAGAGGGGAGGAGGGAGGGGGGGTAGAGGGTGGGGGGAGGGGAGGGGAGGGGAGGGGAGGGTGGGATTGTACGTGAAGCGGTTGCTTCTTGTTTAATGGTTATGTAGTGGGTGCAAACTGACTGTAAACTCGGTGTGTAGTGGTTGCTTTGTGGTTTGCTCGTTGCTGGTTTTCTGGTTTTAAACCAGCCCAAGCCAATATTCAGCCACGAGCAATTTTTGGCACGGCGGCCCAACTACGCAATTTGAGGGCGGCTCCCTTGAAAAGGCGCGATAAAACACACATGTTTGAATTCAGAACCGTTTAAGCCCATATCCAGGCCAAGGAGAACAAAAAGCCTTAGAAACGGCACTGGAGGACTTCTTGCCTGCAAATGCGCATACATGAGATTAGACTAGCCTCCAGGGACCCCAACAGGTTAGGGGTCCCGGCCGGACCCCCGTCGATCGCAAACGAAGCAGCGAGGCCTCCGTGTAGTTAAAGTCGTAGTACCTCGGTGTCAAGGATCTGGGGACCGGGTGTCCGTGAATCAGGACATTTCGAAAAAACACATGTGAGGAACCTATCCGGAATCCCGTTCATATGGCTATGGGTCAAAACCCTGTACCGCTGGTGAACATCAAAATAGGTGGCAGATGGATGTTCATCCACCCCAAAATGGAGCAATAGGTTATGCCCCATGGCCATATGAACCTCCCTAATTGAAAATGAAGCCCTTAAAACCAGCATGTGCATAGAGGTCTCCTTGTTGGGGGGATCTGGTCTGGGTCAAGCGGAGCAGTAACCCTTGCGGGCCGTAGGGCATGATTGCTATTGGTTGAAGCCAGCCGAAGTCCACGACGACACAATTCCGACGCTAGAAAACCAACCCTATCCAAAGCGGGTGAAACCATCGACACGGCCAAATCCAGTCCCCAAAAACACGTGCTCTCCAGAACCGGTTGAAGCCTCGAATCGACAAAGCAAGAAACAAAGTGGGGCTCGAACAGCTACAAGATGCCGGTTGAACCCTTCAAAAACTTGACGACCGAGACAAACATGGAAAATAGAAAGCTTCAGCTCACCAAATGCGATTGCTATTCTGCGCAAAAGCCAACGAAAGAGGGGAGGCACACCATGCTGGCACAGCCTGTGTTTTCCGGAAGCCTGACCTGAAACCCAGCCCCACTCCACCCAGCCCCACCGCCCCCACCCCCACCAGACAAGTTGAGGGACCCAAGCGACACCCACCCCACCCCACCCCTCCCGGCAGTCCAGGCGCTCCTCGTGCCTCGCGGCCGAGGCGTCGAAGCTCCGCGTGGCCAGCGCCAGGTTCAGGTTCTGCGGGCGGATGGCCTCCAGCAGCTGCCCGGTCCTCGACTGGGCCGAGGCGAGCGCGCGAGCGAGCGAGCGAGGCAGTCGAGTTGGGAGTCGGGCATGGGAGGTGGGTTTTTGTTTGGGGGGCGTCGGCCCGTTCTCAGGTGGGTTCGCTTCCAGTTGCGTCTGCGCAACCTGGAAAAATAAACAAAAATAGATGTCCAACAAGTGACAGGTTCCGATTGAAACCAAACAGGGAAAACGACAACTACTCTTAAGCAAATGGAAGTTAAAGGGGAGCCAAAAGGCAAACCGATGACGCTGATCCTCGCAGAAGCCTGAGCAGCGCCGACGGTGCAGAAGAACTCTTCGCGTCGCTTTCCGTACCCCCCCCCCCGCCCCAGAAACTCAGAAACTGGGATTAGTCCTGCCCCGCCCCACCACACCTCCCTCCCCACTTCGAAACCGGGAAAAAAAAATATCTCCCCCCACCGCACCCCCCCCTTCCCCCTTCCCCCTTCCCCGCCCAAACAGACCAGGGAGGGGAAAAAAAAAACAGGCATCGAGAGCCGGGAATCAGCGTGAGATTGATCTCGTCCATCAGCACCCCGCCGGTCAGCACGTCCTCTGGCCTCACCGAGGGCAGGGCCCCCGCCAGCTGCGTCACGTAGCTGGACTCCGAGGCGGAGGGCTCCTCGGAAAATGGAGGCGCTCCTTTTTTCTTCTGAAATTTCGGCTGCTCTTGGGTCAATTTGTGTGGGAGTTCACCTGCTTTCTGTGGGAGTTTTCCCTGTTGGTCCTGTTGTAGGTCATCTTTGGTCTAGAAAACGGGCTTGGAGCGCGCGGTTTGAGGGACTTCCTCATCTATGTTTCCCCCTGCTGGTCCTTTTGGCTCCTCGGGGTTCGGGTGGAATGGAGGCGCTTCTTCTGGAGTTTTTCTGTTCTTCCCGCCCCCTGTTGGTCCTTTAGGTCATCTTTTAGTACTCTTTTCATATTTTAAGAGGGGTGGATCCACAAAAGTCGCAACCAAACCGACTTTTAGACAGGGGTGGGTGGTCAGGGATAGGTGGCCTCCTGCCCACGTTGCCTTCGAAACCACCAGAGGGCCCCTTGAAAAGGAAAATAGTCCAAACCAGGGCCCCGAAACGCGGGCTATGGGTTGCAAAAGGCATCCCAAGCAAGTCACTATGACACTCACTTGTTCACATGGCTCAAAATTGACTCAACATGCACCACAGAGGAAACCAACACATCAAAAGGTCGGTCGTTTTGGGCAAGTGAGAACATCCCCAGTCGAGCCACCACGTGGCTGGGGGACCCATTCAGGGGCATCAAAGCTCAGGCCGTCATCAGGGTTCATCATGGTTCAGGTGATCCAGATGTTTGTCCATTTGGAATCCATGTTACCGTTTGGTAAAATATCTAAAACAACTGCTGGGGCGCAGCACAAAGCCTCTCCCATTCGATGCATCAAGACCGACCCCCTGACCAAAAATGGCTGTCAAAACGAACCCACCAGGATACAAACACCACATGGTTCCATTTACCAGGGCAAGCCATGTTGGGCACCATTCTTGGAGCCACAGCCATTTGACTCGGGAGCCGAGCGTGTCACCTTTGGGGGGCGGGGGCGGTTCGGTCACGGCTGAACAGGGGAGGAAGGCCAACCTCGTGACTCGAATTCTCTGGGAGCGGAGTCCTACTTAGTTCCTACCCGCTAGAGACCTTCCATAGTAGCAAGGGGGCCTACTAATCTGGGGATCCCCCGCCAAAAGTCCTTTTCAGGGACCTTCCATAGCAAGGGGCCCATCTAATCTTGTCTCTCAGATCCCAGGACAAAAGTGAAGAACTGAAGGAGCTAAAAGGCGTTTTGGGACCGGATGGCGGGTTCCGAGCCACCTACGAATCTGGGGTTGACATTGCCTTACTTCCGGTTGCTTGAGAATATGTTTTATGTCCCCTTGATGGTTTTGGTTGTAAAGGGAATACTACTGGAAATATTTTTCCCGGGGGCCGAAACCGCAAATGGAAGCTTAAGGACGAGGATGGCGATTCCTGGTAGTCGAACATCACCTGGTTCATCGCCTGCAGCTTCTCCAGAAGCTCCTGCAAAGAAAAAATCCCCTGGAGGTCCCTTCCATTTGGCTGAGACCCCTAGGCAAAAAATCAAAATATGTCCAGTAGTGAGAAACTCCTTTTAAAACCAACAAGGGAAAATAAAAAAAGATAGTCATTTCAGCAAATGGAACTGTCCCTGCAAGCTGGGTGAAAGGGGGGTTGAGGTGGTTTTTCGTTCTTTTTTTGTTACTAGCCCCAGCTCAGCACAAGGCCTCCCCCCATGTGGCTCTGAAGAGGGTTGGCTGGGAACCTTTGCTTCGCTCTCAGGTGGGTTGGGGGCAACAGGCGGTATTCTCTGGAAACCCTTGGTGGGTCGTTGCCCCAAACCACCCAAACCAGCCCAAAACCTGCGCAACTAAAGCAGCCCAAAAGCTACTGCAAAAACCGGGCCGCACACCTCGCGCAAGTTAGCCCCAAGCCAACGCAAACCGACTCAAAGTCAACCTTAAACCGTCCAACAGCATCCTGGATATCAGCCCTTTACAAAGCCTAAATGAACCCCAAACAAGCCCAAGACCTGCCCCCATTATACAAGACCTCAGCAACACTCGCCCGACACCAGCCCGGAGCAACTCTCTGCCACCAAATCAAAGCCAATAGGAAGCCCGTCTGAGCGAGGCCGATGATGCTGGGGATGCTGGGGATGCGGCCGCCCAGCTGACCAACCAACCAACCAACCAACCAACCAACCAACCAACCAACCAACCAACCAACCAGTCCCCTGGGCGGGGCTAAGCCCCGAGCTGGGGCTAGTTTAATTAAAAAAAAGGTTCCGGAGGGGATTCGTGATTGGCTTTCATGTGCTTCTTTCGAGTTCCTCGCCCAGTATGACTTGCTTCCATTTTTCAATTGTGATACTCACCACCTAGGATGGATGAAACGCACACAAACCACTTACCAACTGGAGCAGGATTTTGTCCATTCACGGTACTTACTTTTGCGACTCATTGGCATGCGTTGGGTTCTGTTAGTATGGGCGGTGGGTGCTTGATAACCCATAGGTTTGATCAAACAGGGGCGGATATTTATTTCAATTTTGCTCGCCCGCCCTCTTTAGCGAGCTTCTTGCTTTTTCTTTTTCAAGCAGGCACCTGTTTTGGTGTTCCTTCCGGGAAAAAAAGTGCAGGCAACCAGATGGGTATGTCAGAAATTGGGGAGGATGCCCCAAATTTCATGGTGAACAACGGAATCCTTTTGGCTTATCTTCAAACTACCCCAGTGGTCCTTGGTCGCCCCTTTCGCCTTCAGTGCCGCGAAGTACGCGAAGAAGTGCTCCACCACCTCCTGCGGATGCTGGCCGAGGGAATCCTCTTTGTCCTTTGTAATTGGGGACCTGCCCACTTTGGTTGCAGACATTCGCATGATTTCCATCCCTTTTTGCAAGAAGGGGATACCGTTGAGTCACAGTGGACGAGACGGAGGTTTTACAAAGAGCGCCTTCTGGCGCCGCGCTAAGGAGAACGGACTCGGGCTGCACTCACACGTGGGGTGCAGTCCGAAGAAAGAGACGGGTGGTTTGAAACATCGCCTTCTGGCACCTGGACCCCTCCAAATACCAACCTAACAATGCAAGTTAGTGCAACTTGCAAAAGTCTGGGCTTGGCTTTATGGGTCGTTTCAGGCTCCAGGTACCCTATCGTTGCCATGGAACCTTCATGTGACTTTCAAAGGGACCTCTGGTGGCTTCCATGTTAGTAAACTGGGGGCACTTTTTGATTAGTTTCCTTTTGGTGGGGTGATGTTCAAAGGAGACCCAACCCAGGGTTGGGAAAATTAAACTACCCGACCACAGCTTGTGCCCAACCACAAGCTAATGTTAACTTTGGATCGATCTAGAGGTCACACCAATCAGGGGTCTTTCCCTGTTTAGAGGGTGATTTTCTCATTTCAGGGTTGTGTGATTTGCGGGCTTCGGATTGCCAGCCCCATTATTTTATCACCATCAAAGCCACTCCTAAGTCGTGGTGAAGAACCCGCCAGTTTCTGACTTCCCCAAAAAAAGTCCGGGCCATCCTCTCATCTGCCAAAAGTCGAAAACCTTTAGCAGGTTAAATGGAAACCCAACCACTAAACCAACTAACACAAACAAAAAACGCCTAAGGAACCAGACAACTGGACACCGCGAAGTAACATGACCCCCACGACGCAGGGCCAGGCCGGGATCCGCGACGCTCTCGCAGCTCCTCTGGCTTGGAAGCCCCTTGCTCCGTCAGGGAGAAGATCACGAAGAGGTTGGTGCCTGCCTCGGTGCTGGGGGGGGCGTCAAAACCTGAAAAATGAGCACGTTCAAACATGCAGGTTTACTGATAAAATCAAACAAAAACAAGTAGGGGCCTTGAGAGATTCAAAACATCGCCCCACCCTCCACCCCTTCCCCCGTCCACAACCAATCCCCCCCCCACACCCCCCATTTTGATTTCAGTTTGGGGAAATGGCGTAAAATTATATGTTCGTCCCCCCTTTGGCTTCATTTTCCGGATAATGGGTGGTACTTCTTGGTCGCAGCTGCTGGGGTGGTCTCTGTCATCGTGGAGTACTGCAGCGACAGGTCCTCGTGCTTCAGCAAGGCTTTCAGGCCGCCTGCCGCCGGTCGACTCAAGCGCCTCTTGTGTGCGTGTGTTTCTTGAGGCTCGGTGCGCTTTTTGCGCCTGGTCTCAAGGGAAAAAAACCATTTTGCAACTGGTACCTGGGCGGGCGTGGGAAAATGCCTGGACTGGTGATTGAATCTCCTTCAAGGGTCCACCACTTGAGATATAGCTCCGAGTGGGTTTAAACTTCTCTAAGCCTGGCGCCTGGTGCAGCGAAATGTTCAAAAAGTGGGTTTCCTGACTTGCTGTTGCTTGGGAAACCCCCGTTGTGCTCGACAATTGCTGGTTGGTGTGTGGCACTGCCCGGCAGCCGGCCTGGACCGTAGTGGCTCATGGCGTAGTTGATGTATGCCTCTGGCAGTGCCTTGTACCGCCCCCTGGCGATGGCCGAGTCAGAGCCAGAAAATGAACAAAACAAGCAAGCAAGCAAGCAAGCAAGCAAGCAAGCAAGCAAGCAAACAAGCAAACAAGCAAACAAGCAAACAAGCAAACAAAAAAAGCAAGCAAAAAAAAGGCAAGCCACACCAACAAACCCAGCAAAACGAACCAAACCAACCCAAACTAAAGAAACAAACCCACTCGCAAAACAGGGCACACGCCGCACCCGCCTCATCCCCCCTCCCCTCCCCATTGTTTCGCCGCCAAACCCCCGTTTCAAACAGGAGAGGCGCTAAGCTAGCGCTCGCCTCCCGCCTCAGCGACACCAGTGGGAACATCAGCCACAGCTGCGGCGCCCCGTCGGTGTGCACCAGCAGCCGCCGGCCCAACGTCCCCGTGGCGCGACTGAACCTCGGGGGTGGAAACGCAACAGTGGCTGTGGGTCAAAAATGTGTGCCCAAAATGGAACCCCGGTATATGGAGATGAGGACCAAACCAGCGGTCCCCTAGTGGTTCAATTTTGACCCATGCCCAAGTGGCACCACTTGGGGAAGCCTGGGTGGCAACCAGAACTTTGGCTGGCATGTACAGGGGGTTCGAATCGAGTCATTCCAGGGTGTTTTAGGTGGTGCAGGATTTCGTCCATCCACAGTATATAGGGGGCTGGGAGGGTCTGGACAGGGTCCCTGCTTTTCAACCTATTTTTGGGTGGATGCTAGGTTTCGATTGGGTGGTCGAAGCCAAACAAGTAGAATCGGACATCCCAGGATATGTTCAGCCCAGGGTGCTAGATAGTGTTTGGAACGAAATGCAGATTGCCTTACACGTCCCTTGGATCCAACACCCTGCCAAAGCAAAACTCAATCAACTGGTGCCTTCCCCAGATTCAATGCAGCTGGCATACTCCATACAACTGTGCATGTCGTCCAGGTCTGCCGCCTTTCTTTTGTTGTTCTCCTTGGCAAAGAGGATTGTGTTTTGTTTAAATATTAAAACCGTCCCATGCCTAGGGCTTCATTTCAAAGTGCGCGTCGCATGCCTTGGGTTTTATTTCCACATACGCGTCACATGCCTTGGGTTTTAATAACCTAGGTCCTCCAGTGGAGAGGCTAGAATAAGAGTACCCTTTTTCTGTACTATATTTTGGTAGGGGGAGCCTCCCAACCAAAAAAGAAACGGTAAAAGGGCACCTAGCTGGGGGACCTATAGTAAAAAAGCCCCAACCCGCCGCCCGGCTTTCCACTGAGCCGAGCCGCGCGGCGACATTGTCGTAGACCGGCCGCGCCGGGCAGGGCTTCCGGCCCAGCACGTCGAAGCTCCGGTGGGCCGCCTTCAGCTGCTCCGCCACCGAGGCGTTGCGCATGATCCTCGGCTGGAAAGCGTCCGGGTGGCCCTCTGTCTGTCTGAAGGCGAGCACCCAAGCTCGCGGCAAAACGGGCGCGACGCAAAGTGGTACCGCCCAGACCCCCGAAGCCCATTAACATAAAGGGGCCAGACAAATAGAGACATTACGGTGGATCCACAGCTCAGTTGTTCAGTGACCCTGGAGAAAAGAACAAAAGGGAACCCTTTTTTTGGAAGACCATTTTAGTGGGGCAGCCACCAAAAAAAAAAGGTGGAAAAATAATGGCTGCCACTGAACAACTGAGACAGCATCATTGTTCGCATCCGAGGCACCGCCATTGCGCGGCCCTAGTTACTGGTTGGCCAAGCTCTTCAATTTCAGGGTTGGGCGCGCATATACCTCCGCAACACTAGGTCCGGGCCACTTACTCACTTGCCCAAAGGACCTGGAAATATAAGGTTCACCTTTTGGGACCTTTACTAAAAATGGACCAAAATGGGAAAACCAACAGGTCAAAAAGTCCGCTTTGGACAACTGAGCTTAGGTTGGAGCCATGGTCAGAACTGGGATGGCTTCAACCACTAGCCTCATATGGCACAGCCACCCAAGCGCTGTCACGAAATGTCCAGGGCAGCACCTGCCTCAAGCCGCTGTTCGCCGAAATCCCCCGCGACATGCAGAGCGAGGCGCACGAGATGCATCCGGGAGGGGCAGTAGTGCTCCTGGCCGACAGGCTGCCTCGATACCCCTGCTGGCTGTAAAACGCATGATCACAGAAATGGCAACATCTCACCAACGAGGATTTGAGCAAACTGGGGGCTTCAAACACACACGTAAGTTTCCACAAATACAAAGCTACCCTGCTGCAGGGCTGATTAATGGCCCCCAACTATTCAAAACCCATAGCAGCCTTCTAAAGCTCGTAAATAGCCAAGGTGAGGGCGAGGTTCTGTGAATTGGGCTGCCTTGGGGCACTCACTCGAGAGTGAAACTGGATTGTGCGGTGTTTCCTTTATGTGAGTAAGTAAAAAGGGATGACAAAATTGCTGAAGTAGGGGGTCTGGAGAACATCTCAAGTTCGGAAGTGGGTGGGCCAAAAAAAGTCTGAACTTTAGATTCACCACGAAAATGGTCTTCCCAAAAAGTTTATAAAGTGCAGGAAACCAAGAAAGGCAATCAGACTTTGTGCTGACGCAATCGAGCCGGTCGAACTGACAAGGATAGGGCGGGTCTTTTGGAAGATGCCCCGGTCCCCACTTCCTTTTTGTTAAACGTTAAAAGGGCTATGTCCCCTGAACTTTCGAACGCTCCGGTTTCCGAGCGGACGGATCATGAATCCCAATCTGCCAATGGATAAAGCCACTAGCTGGCAGAAGGAAAAAGGATTGACCTTCAAGAACCCAAGTACTGGAAAGACCACAGAACCCAGGAGAGTGGAAGGGGAGGTGCCAGTGCCGATGAGCAAGAAGCGGCACATGTCACTGGCTTGATTGTGAACAACCCCCAAAAAAAACTGACTTCCTGAGTGGACTCCGTTTGGCACCGGTTTCCCAAAAAAGAAGAAGAAGAAGAAGAAGAAGTCCAGGAGCTCAGGGATAGTGAGTGTCAATTATTTCTGCAGATTTCAACTGCGGGTGGGATATCGTTTCACACGTGAGGCTCCATGCACTAGATTCTTACTTCCCTTAAGGTAAACGCTTGGATGGGGTTCTCAATAATACTTTTGCGGGTTACCTGTAAACCATCATGACAGGGGTCACTGGCAGGGGTCACTGAATTCCCCAAATCAACGGTTGATCAATGGTGGTTTTCATGGAAACGATCGCCACATTTCGGAGGTTCCCACAAGGGAAATTCCGTGACCCCGGCAAATCTCTTTTCTGGGCCCCCTGCAGAAAGTTACTCACCATTCAGTGGCTCAAATACGGAAACCCAACCGCCAAACCAACCAAAAAGATCTAACAAAGTCAGTTGAACCGCATGGGACGGGGGCCACCAAGATACGGATGGGTTTTTTGGCCAGGATTGCGGTAAGGCCCAAGAAGGCTCACTCAGCCTCAGGCCTTCAGCAAATGACACCCCCCCACCCACCCCCCCACCGAAGAAGCGAGCGCCTGGTGAAAGCGCCTCAGCGCCTGGGGCAAGCTCTTGCCCGCCTGGCGAGAAGAAGACTTCCCCCGGTCATCTAGATGCATGCGGAGAAAACACACCGATCCACAAACACATGAATCCCCACATCCATCTGCTCTGTTTCTTTTGTGATAAGCAAAACAAATACAAACAGACAAACCAGTAAAAGACATCTAAGTCGAATGCGGAAAAATATCCCCTGACGTGTTCGTGCGGAAAAAAGAAGAAGAAGGAGAACAACAACAACAACAAAAAAAAACGCCTCGGCGGACCGTTCTCTCCGGCCTTCTCGGGGTCCAGCTTCAGGGTCTTCAGGTTCCCCGTGGCGAACTTGCTCACCTCGGCCGGGCCGGCCCCGAGTTCCTGGCTGGGTGAGGCCCCCGCCCCAAAGAAGAAGAAAGCCCCGAGCATTCAACGGCCTTTCTTCTTTTCTTTTCTCCGTGGGCATGGCACAGTTCCAGACATCGCTGAGGAAGCATTCAACGTTTGAGCAATCACCATTTGTGACGCGGCGAATCATTGACTGGCCAACACCTAGTTCAGAGTTTTTCATGACATCATCTGCCGGTGCTGAACCCACAACCCCATCCCAATCATTTAGCCCCCGCTTCCACTTCTTTAAGCCCCCTGAATGGTCCCCTTTAAAACCCAACAAATGGAGATTTTAAAAAACAAAAAAGCACATCCGTCTGGCATCCGTGCGGCGGGGCTCTCGGGGTTGCCGCGGGAGTTCATGAGGTGGAAGAGCCGCCGCCCGATGTCCGGCATGTTCCTCGTCCGGCCAAAGCGGTTAACAAACAAAGAGAACATGGGACAATTGAGGAAAGCTTAAAAAAATGGAAAACCAAAAGAACAAAAACAAGGAGCAGGAAAACAGGAGATTGATGGAGATTGTAAGAAAGATCGGGAAACTAAGCCACCCCCATCTACCGTACTGTGTTTCAGGAGAATTCGACCGTTATCTTCACCAGTGTTCACTTGTGGATAGGTTCGGAAGACGGCAATGCTCAGAGCAATCTCCCGGACACCTAACACTTCTCCGCGAAAAAGGGAAGCACCTCTGATTCATCTGGAGATTTCTAGCCACGATTCCCCTAAGTGAGGCTGATGAAGCTCAAAACATCCCAAACCGTTTGGGGGAAAGCCTGGGGTGGATGGCTTGTGGGGGCGTCAGCTGGCACACACACACACACCCACGCAGGCATTTGATATGGGCGAACCCCGTCCGCGTTGATGGGGGGTCGCTTGTTTGGATTGGCGGCTTGTGGTGTCCAATTCAGCCTCGAGAAGGGCTTACAAGAAATGCAAACGCTTTCTTGTGAGCCCGTTATACCCCCGAGTCGTCGGTGAGCTCGCTTCATAACATAGGCCGAAGTCAAATTCCCCGTTCGAAGCCAAACCGGAGGGAACCTGACCCCCCACCTCCCCCAGCCTGGAGTACAATCATGGGGGCTGGGGGGGAGGGAAGGGAGGGGGAGGGAGCCCAAATAAGCCCTAAATAAGGCCTTATTAAGGGCTTAATAAGGGCTTATTGGGCTCCCTCCCCCCCCCCCTCCCCCCCAGCCCCCCTGATACAAAGGCCTGACGCGTCGTTTGCGGTGCTTATGCCGCGCATGTGAGCGTAAGGGGCTAAGGAGCTACACACCTGATGTCATTACGAGCATGACTTTTGCTGCAGAGTCCCCTTGGTGAGCATTAAAGATCTATGAATACCTGCGTCCCTTGAAGCCCCTGCCAAACATGAACAAAGAAACCATCACATCGCAGGCCTCGACTTTTAGAATCGCAGGTTTTCAGGATCCCAACACATTTCCCCTTTTGTGGCAAACAAAACGCTTTTGGCCCATATGTGAGTTCCGACCTGGATGGTGATGTTTGTTTGTTGTACTCACCTTTTTGGCCCATGTTGATTCACGAGTTTCAAGCCGGAGGCTGCTTTTCCGCCGGCTCACCTCCTCTTCCTCGCCTCACCTCACCTCGCCGCTGGGAGGATCGAATGTTCGGCGAGGCGCTTCTTGTGCTCCGAGTCCACGGCGTTGATCTCGCGGTCCACCATGTTGCCGGAGAAGGTGGGCTCAATGAAGAACCTCAATTCGGTCAATCCGGTTCGGGTGGGTGGCTCCTCATGGTTGTTCTTGGTTTTGTTTTTTCTTTTGGGGGGGGGGGGGGGTGGAGCCCCACATTTTGGGGGTGGTCCTTGTTTTCAAAAAAAAAGAAGAGGCTCAAAAAGGCGTACCCTCAAAAGAGGCCCACCAAAAATATTGAAAGAGTAATAATAAAAAAATATCAACAAAGGGCCATCCAGGGGAAGAACAGGTGAAGTCCACGAGAAGCGCATCTAAAACGCGTTAGGTTGCAAAGTAACACGCCTTGCCACAGAATTGTCCGCAACGTCTGGCAACATCGCCGCACGAAGGGCAGATGCATCTGGACCGAAATTTGGGTCCTCGCGAACGGCAGTGGAATCATCACCGTGCAATTGGTCTTCAAATGGTGCAACCCCAAGCAATGTTGGGGGTCTTTAGGTTCATCGTTCAAACAACCCGGAGAAAAAAAGGAGGTATCCTCAAAAAAGTCACGATCACATGATAGACAGGAACCATTGTTACGTCGTTCAACAACCCGGAGGGAAAAAAAGGAGGTATCCTCAAAAAAATACAATCACATGACAGAAAGGAACCACTGTATAGCTACGGACCCTTTTTTTTAACTCAAACAAGTCCTACCCATGTGCCAGGCGGCTGCGCGAAGATGTCGAAGGTCTGGTCAAAGCCCTTGTCATCCACCTGCCGAGCGCATGCCATCATCTTGAGGACTCAGCTGCGGTACCCGCACAAAAAGCTGTTCTTCTCAGTTGCCCCGGATGGAACCCAGAAATACAAGGTTGAGCTTTTGGCGTCATCACCAAAAATGGAACAAGACAAAGGGGAACTAAAAGCCAAACAAGGTAGTGAGTCTTCCAGTTGCGTGCTTGGTGCCACCATAACTTACGATCTGTGCCTATCATGGCCGGCTTAAGCGAATGGTACTTCCCAAACACCGCCCCATTTGGGGGAAATATCCTCTTGAAATCCAAGACCAGACTGCAATGTTTGATCCTTCCAAACGAGGCAATTAGAAAGAACGCGCCGAATAAAACTCCGAACGAGTTCTCTTCCAGGGCGGCAACAGCATGATTGGCCAATGGCTCGTTCAAGCTCCTGTTTTCTGCGTGCTTGGCGCGCCCGGGGAAGCGGCACGCCGCGGCCCGAGCGATGGTGGAAAACGTGGCCCTTCCTACCAAGTGCGAATGGCCCTAGTGAGCCACGATCCATGCCTCAAGAATTAGAATGGCGTGCGAAGTGAGATACTTCAGTGGGATATCGTCCCTTGGAAGTTGGTAACCTGGGCCACTCACAGAAATTGACCCACCGACAATCCTCACCAACCATGAACAAAAAATGGGGTGGTGATACTTAGGGTGTTGAATCTCTTGACGATTTTGTCATTTTCAAGGCAGTATGGCATCGCAGGTCCTACAACTCCCCGCCTCCGCATAGTACACCGTCTGATCCGCTGAGGTGTAGGCGTTGTTCTGGCCCCCATAGAACGCCAACCTCCCACTTTCAATCGAAAATATCCATACATCATAGGATCAACCCCTCCCCCCGTCTCCCCCTGCTTAATAGGTCTTCATTGGAGAAGTATCCACACCCCACAATGCGCTGGGACGTTCGAAGCCATGACTGTACGGGGAACAACTCCTTAGCTATCTCATCCTCAGTTGCGCAAAGGACACAAAAAATATAAGGTTAACCTTTTGGGGCCATGACTAAAAATGGACCCAAAACAGAACAACCTAAAGGTCAACAAATTGATTCGCTTTGGGCAAGTGAGCGTCTGCAACCTTGCCCACAACCAGCTTACCTAGCGGTCTGGTTGCGCCAGTGGCCCCTATGGGTGAGTGATCTGGATGATTTGTAGCAACCATTGGACCCCGGAAGAAACGACCCAAGAATGGAGAGGTCACAAGAACATGTGAGGACGCTGAGGTCACCGTCATTTGCCCCGAATTCCTTGACTCTTACTGGGGATGCACCGTCGTCTTCCACCCTCCTTTGCAAAGTTTTGCGGGCGCTCAGCGTTCGCCAGCCGTGGACGAAAGCCCTGCCATTTTAGGCTTCGTTGTTACCCAGACCCAGATCATTGGTGCAAGCCTGCTGCTTTGGCGGGTCCAGGCCAAATTGGACCCAGCGGCCAATCGGGGGGGCAGAGTCCATCAGAACGCATTTTCGAGTGCTTGGAAGATCCGATTTGTTGCAACCCTCATTGTTTTACAATCATCGAATTCACCCTCTAAGTTGTCGGTTTAAGGGAAACAAGCAGCCACTTTCTGACTTTGACACACACCCAGAGACAGTCAAAACCATGCCCCCAGTTGTTTACCTTTAAGCACTAAGACAGCGACATATTAGTTGTTTGTGTCTGTTTTATTGCGTGTCTGTGTGACAGAGACAACAATCAAAATAATAACCCCAATTTCGGGGCGGGCCGGATCGAATCCGATCGAGTCTTGGTCGAATCGCCTATCGGAGAACTGGTCCTCGGCCGGGTACTTCTTAGAGCCGAGGAAGACCTCGAGAGCAGCCCCCGTCCGACTGAAAAGGGACTGGGCGGTGGACAGCAAAAAGGTGGGGATTCACAGCAATGGACCCCCAAGGAGGGCTGGGAAGAGGGGATAAGCCCAGGATAAGCCCTTAATAAGGCTGTAGTAAGGGGCGTGTAAGTCATGGCCCCCGTCTCCCCAGAGGTTTCTTGGGGGTCCATGAGGATAAAAAGGTCCACTAGCCACTGTTTGTCTCAAGGTAAGCCACAAAATGATTGGTGCATTTGGTTTCCCTTTGATTCAATTCAAAAAAAGAACAACTCCAAAACGATACACCCTTACCTGGCGCTGGTGATTGGAAGCCTCCATTTTGTCGGCTACCAGGCAGTTATTCCGTGGATGGACGAAACCCTGCACCTAGGATGGATGACACCCTACAAATGTTGGCAAGCACCAATCCCAACTGGCGCCAAGTGGATTTTGTCCAGCCAGGCCACCTCCCAATTCCCTCTCCCCCCGCCCGCGACCAACTCCCCAACTCCCCAACCTCCCAACCCCAACCTCCCAACCTAACACTCCCACCCTCCCAACCTCCCCCACCAACCACCCAAACCACCCTTCCCTCCCCCACACCCTCGCAACCCAAGCTCACTTGTTCAGTGACCCTGGGAAAAAAAGGGGAACCCTTTTTGGGGCTTGGGCCACTTTTACTGGGGCCACCCACCCCCAAAAAAAAAACTGGAAAAAGGACATGGGTGCCACTGAACCACTGAGCAAGTCCCCCCCCCTCCCCCCCCCTTCCAAGTCGCCATGTGCTCGCAGAAGTGCGCCAGGCCCTGGAAGTCCTCCGGGTCTTCCAAGGACCCCACCTCGCCGGGGGATGTTGGTAGACGTAGATACGTCCCCAGCCACAGAGAGAATGAAAATTTACACATGTGGAGGGGGGGAGGGGAGGGGGGAGGTTGGAGGTTGGGGGAGGGGGCAACATGAGGCAAACCAGGTGAACCATGCAAAACAGTGGCGGGATGTTGTTTAAAAAAATAATGAGGCTAACATGAGGCAAACCATGCAAAAGAGTGGCGGATTTGTTTGGTTGGTTCAAAGCTTGCAAGCGATAAGTCGGGCATGGGCAACAAGCAGAATTAAGTAAGCATGCAGCGGAAAGAGTTGGTTCCGTTGTTGCAGGCGATCAAACAACGAACTAGATGACGGAGCTTGCAGGTTCCCAAGCATGGGGGCTGGGGGGGAGGGAGGGGAGGGGGAGGGCTTCTTTGGGCTCCCTCCCCCTCGCCTCCCCCATGATCCAAAAAATGGCCCGTGCTTTTTAAGGAACAGAACAACTTTGGGGTCGAAATCTCCTTCGGATTGCCGAAGGAGGCCACGCAAAGTGCCACCTGCTTGGTTTTGAGCGGGCTGTGTCATGTGGGAGTTGTTCCATCACTTTTTCCCAAAAGGCGCACCCAACCCCCCCCCCCCAACATCCCCTCAACATCCCCTCAACATCCCCTCAACATCCCCTCAACATCCCCTCAACATCCCCTCAACATCCCCTCAACATCCCCTCAACATCCCCCCAACATCCCCCCAACATCCCCCCAACATCCCCTCAACATCCCCGCCCACCCCCCCAACACCCCCCCCTCCCCCCAAAACCCCCCCAACGAGCCCCCGCCTCCACCGCCATGGCGTAGCTGGACTTCTGGGCGTTGGGGTCCTCCACCACCAGCACCGACAGCCCCGAGGACCAGACCTCGTGGTGGTACCGCCGCCTCGCGCGCTCGCGCTCGCGCACCGAGCGCGCGGTGCCCCCACCACCCCCCCCCCGGCCCGGGGGAGTCGAGCAACAAGGCGCTTCAACAAGGGGGTAGGGTTTTTCACCGGGGTCAAGGGTGAAAGAACAACACCCGGATTTTTTTGTGGGATGGGTATTTTTTCCGAGTTGCTCTTTGGAGTTGCTTTTTTGGGGGATCTAAACATGTGGCTCCTTTGGGCTTCCCTTTTGAACATGTGGCTCCTTTGGGCTTCCCCTTAGAACTTTTTAGAACCAGAGGAGAGCCAGCTGAGAAAAGATAGCACACTTTCCCCACTTGCGATTGTGCCCTGTACCCACATGAGGAAAACTGTGCCATCTACCTTTGTCCCTAACATCGCAGTGGCTTGGCCATTGTTCAATCCCCATCTCGAGATTCTCGGAGAGGCCCAAACCCCGATCCTCCTGAGGGCCGTGGACGCCGACCTGCAGTTTGTTCCACCAACCAACCAATCAACCCACAAGGAAAAGGACAACGCTGGTGTACACTCTTCGGCGCCTTCCCACAAACGCACCAAGTTGAAAATCCAGAAGTGGCAAAAGTTGTTTGGCCAAAAAGGGCAGTCCCGGTTTGAAGCCAATCTTGGGCGTTAAAAAATAAGTGTTTCCTTACATCTGCGCAATGCTCACTTTCCCACAACTCCCTCACGCCCAGGCACTGGTCCGTCTTCGGCTTCCGCACAGCCTGAGGCAAAGTGAGGCGCTAAGTTAAGCCTTCAGCACCCCGTTGGTCCAAGCCCGGACCTTCATTTTTTTTTCAGCTGGTGGTTTGGTGGTTGGGGAAGCCAAATAAAATTCGAGGGAAGCTGAAAATCCCGCCAAACGTCAAAGTCTAAATTTAGCTTCCCCCTTATTGGTGATTTGGATTGGTAGTTTGGTGGTTGGGGCTGGCAAATGCCATTCACCCTCTACAAGAGCCAGGAAATGGTTTCAAACCCAAATCCAAACCACCAATCCAAACCACCCCGGTTCCATGTGCAGGGTTCCCCTTGCCATGTTCAACCCACTTCAGAGCCTCCTGGGCTTCTGCCCAGGCGTTGAGTCAGGGCAAAACACGACGGGCGTGCCCCTGCTCGAAGGCCACAAGCAACCTCAGCCTTGCTTTGCATCATCCGAATATGAACTTAGTCCGACTTCGGCGGCCACATGTGGAACTGCTGCGGATGGACGAAATCACCCCTGGAATGATTCGATTCCCGTGTAAATTCCTACCAACAATGGCTTCCCCTGGTTTCAAAGTGGTGCGCCCACCAAGCTCCTTTTTTTGGGCGCCTGCTTTGTCATCACGTTGGATGCTTCGCGTGCCATGGTCATTAGCGTCTGAAGGTCGAGGAGAACGCCACGCTGGGCCGGTAGCTCTGGGGCCCGGGACTCCGCTCGCGCGGGCTCGCGGACCGGAACCGCTGGGCAAAGCCCATGGCGCCTCCCCGGCTCCGCTCGTGGCGGGGGCTGTAGAGACGCCCAGCGCCCTCCGAGTGCAGGGGGATGAACTGGAAGGTGTCCTCACTGCCGGAAACCCAGCAATACAAATGGGTCGCCTTTTGGGGCCATGACAAAAGAACGGGAAGGATGAAACCCAACAGATCACCTTTGGGGCCGTGACATAAAAATGGGAGCCTAAAAAAAAGAGGAACCAAAAGGCGAGAAAAGCCTTGGCTTTCAAAGCTCAGTTGTTCAGTGACCCTGAGGGAAAAAAAGAACCCTTTTTGGGGAAGACCACTTTTTTAGTGGGGCAGCCACCCCCCCCAAAAAAAGAAAAGGAAGAAGGATGCCACTGAACAACTGAGTTAGGTGTCGCGGGTGGTCCGCGGGAAGGTCGTCGTCCGCGCCCCCACGCCCGGCGAGTGGCAGCGGCGCAGCGGCGGCCCCGCAGCCGGCGCCTCGCCGTTGCCGCGTCCGCGCGCCGTTGGAATGACGGCGCGGGGGGACTTCGGCCGGAGGACGTCGTCACCTGGGTGGCGCACCATCGTTTCCCAAAGGTCCCCGGTGCAACACAAACAAGATGTGGCTCCGTGGGAATAACTGTCATTTCACGTCTAAAGGCTCATCATGTCCCAAACCCTTTTGTGCAACAAAAACCATGTTACGGGTTAGAATATGCATCACTGTCGTGATAAGTCGAAAGATGCCACCAAATGGGTCTGTGATTGTTTAGCGCCCAAAAAATAGTGCTTTTCCCGTGCAGGTTCCTCTTAAATCCAAGCAAACAGTTGGTTTCAAACCCTGAACACGGAACCAGACCCTTTTCTTTCCAACCAAACTCCTCTACAAAGGAGTTACCTCCGCCACCAACTTTGTTGCCCAAGATAATCTGAGTCAAAAATCCAACCCCCCCCCAAAAAAAAAAAAACAACAGGGCGCCCCTCTGCGCCCCTCTTTCTTTCTGGCAAGAAAGATTATCCCTTGCACCCCTCCACCGTTCGACTTCCGGTTACCCGTTTATGGTTTTGGCCGCGGGGCTCAAGCTGTGGAAGCTGAAGCGGCCCAGCACCTGGGTGCGGCTCAAAATTTACCAGGAGGGGCAAACCGCAGGTTCTGGTCAATGATGGTCCATGTTTCCAGCAGCCACACGACACAACCACCCAGATTTTTTTGAGCCACAGCCACCTCCGGCGGCCTCAAGGGCTCCTTGGGCGCGCGGTCGAAGACCACCCGCGGCGACTGCGGCAAGGCCCGCAGCCCGTCGCCGTAGCTGGAGGGGCCCGAGAGGTCCGAAGGCGGCCGCCGGGCTTCCGCGATCCTGGGGGAGCCCCCAGTTTATGTGTTTGGTTTCCTGTTTTTGTTTTCTCTTTTGTTGTTCTCTTTCTTGTGTTTCTGTGTTTCTCGTTTCTTTCTTTATTTGTCCATGTTTTTGTGTTTCCCCGACTAGCCTTTTTGTGCGTGTTTTTCCCCAACTGGGGCTGGCCGTTTTCGGATCCCCTGGCTGAGTGGGTGGATTTTCGGAAAGACGCACTGAACCCTAACTCGGTTGCTTTCTGCTCCCCTGCTAAAAGTTTAACTTTTAGTAGTTTAGTGGAAAACCACCCAGTAGTTGGCAAAAAGTTAAAGTCCTAACAGTCAAGCAAAATGCACCAAAGCTGGTTGATCTTGATCGGAGACTAGATCTGCTACATTTCGATTATTTTTTGGTGGATTCAACGGAAAACCCCCCACGAAACCAACTAGAATGAGTTGGAATGACCCCGACAAAGAACCATTTCATCTGGTTTCCTTTGGGGGAATCCCATTCCGGTTCATTCCCAAAACCCTGGGTCACTCCTACTGAGCACTGGCAAGAATGCGTCCTTTTGGTGGGAATCCGGATCACTTTGGTGGGTGACACCCCCAAATTAATAGGCCCGGATCTGAGTAGAACTTGGTTCACTAATACTGCGGATGGACGAAATCCGCAAGAAGCACTGGAATGATTCAATTCTCCTGCAAATATCCACGAACAACGACTTGCCACGGATTGAAAGTGGTGTAGGGTTTCGTCCATCCACAGTAGGGGGTGTCCGCTGTTAGTGGGAGTCCGGATCGCTTTTGTGGGTCGCAAAAAAAGAAGGACGGGTTTATTCATTTGCGGTCCTTGATGCCGTCAAACTGAAATTGTTGGGGGGATGTGACCCCCCAAAAAATGAAGCTTCCGTCCAAAAAGGCCCCCCTCGGTTTGAGACACTTCTTTGGGGAAACCCCACTCTTAACGCAAAAACACTGGAACCACGTCTTTCCCTCTTCGCCGAGTATCTTCACGCTGGTGGTCGCCTTGCTCCTGCTGCTGACCCGTTCAGCCTCCAGCACTTTGTAATCCGCGGGCCCGGGCCCCAGGTTCTCCGCCATCCACGCGGGGCGATCCGAGTTGTTGAAGGAGCCCCGCAGGGAGATCGACGGCGAGTCCACGCCGATCAACGAAGAAAGGCCCAGCGTCGCCGGGTCGCAACCAATCCTGAGAGACCAACAAAAAGTCGGGGTCCTGCTGGCTAGTAGGGAACATGGGCGTGGGACAGACCAAAAAAAAAGTGGGGAACCCCTGAAGCAGAAACACAGTGCAGACCGAAGGATTTGTCCATTGAAGATGGCGTGCTGGAACACAAAACAGATGCCACAAGCTTCAAAGGTTGGCTAGTCGGGCAGCCTGAAAACCAAACACAAAGGATCAAGAAGCTTGAAAACCAACAAAAAGGACCCCCCAAAAAAAACTATATAAGTCTGGCCATGACTCAAGCCTGAATATCGGCTGCCGAAGGCTGAGATCACCAAGTCCCCGGACATGGCGAACTGAGCTTAGGCAAACGCCGCGCCGCCGGGGGGCGGCGTTTGGGCCGGTCGGCTGAGGCAAAGTGAACCCGTGGATTCAGCGGGGTCCCGTTTGGAGAGGAAAAAGGCCATCTCAACAGACAAAGGGGTTCTGGCCACCCGGCAAATATTCTACATATGCACATATATATATATATATATGTGTGTGTGTGTGCTGTATATCTAGATGTGCACATATTGAATATACATATATAGATATATAGTAATATATATATATGTATATATATATATATATGCAATTATCTTATGGAGAGGGATATGGGTCCAGCTGGTTGTTGGTTTGCTTTTCCCGTTTGGTTTGGGGCGTTGCTTGTTTCTTGGGTTTGGCGCATGGGGGCTCTTGATCAAAACAACGTGCCACCTCGTTGAACTACACCTCCCACCACTACCACAAACATGGGGCAATGCGGTCTGAAGCAAGAATCCCAAGCTTGCACCAGCATAGAACCCCAAAAAACAAAAAACAATAGGTCTAGTTGGCAATGGAAATAGGCGCTTGGCAACCATGATGGTGCATAACAATTTGAAACATGGAGCCACCCACAGCTCCCTGCGCAGTCCCTGCAGCAACATATTGCAGCAGCACCCCATCAATTACAGCACTCTGAGCGACTCCAGAGGGTCTCAAATGTTTTCGTAAACAATGCCACTCCCAAACTCTCCGGACCCCCCCCCCGGACCACCCTAAAATAAAAGAAAATCATCCAAGAAAAAAACGATATCCAACTCCCACAAATACAAAGGCCTCCAAAACAAGACCCCCCCAAAAAGACAAATCCACACATCAGCCAAAACCCCCAGTAAAAATAAAAATACATAAAAATCAACATCAAAAAAAAACACGAGAAAAAAACAACGCATCTCCAACCCCTTGGCCCCCCTACCCCCAGGCGCCTCCGCTTCCGGCGCCTCCACTTCCGCCACGGCCGCCTCCGGCGTGAGGCGTTCGCCGGAGCGCCGGAGGAAGCCCCCGGCGGCGCAGGTCGCCTCGCGGCGCCAGGCGGAGTTGCCAGGGGGCGTTTCGGCGATGTTTTTGGCTTCCTGGTAGGTTTTCTCCAGGGTTCCAGCTTGCTCTAAAAAGTGTCGCTTTCCATGGTTAGCTTGGTTTTGGGGCTTTTGGCTTCATCACCTGCTTGGCGTGCATTTTTTTTTGTTTCTTTGTGCTTCTCTTTTGTGGATTCGTGTTGCATGTTTTATCGCCGGTACCTTCCTATCTGTCCGAAACCGGATCTCTTCAATCGGGCACGCGGCTTCCTCGTTCCGGGGGCTGCGGTGGATTTGTTCAATGGCGGGTCTGTGGAAAAGCGAAAGCCAAAAGTCGCACCACTTGGAAGCCATGGAAAACCACTTGTTGGCTGGTATTTACCTTCTTTCAATCTAAGTCTGTTCAAACCGTTCCCAAGTCCTGGATGGAATCCCTTCTTTCAAAAGAAACCGGAAAGCGAGGATTGTTCTTGGTGTGACGTCCTCTCGCGACTCGTGCGCCTACCGCGTTTTCTGCTGAAACCGCTCCATTGCAAAATGCAACGAATGGACCCTTGGTGAACGCATAGTCAATTCTAGGGCTCGTGTTGCAAGTGAAACTCACGCAATCAACATATAGTCACATCTCGTCACGAGCACCCACGCACGGTGATTCCATTCGCGCTACAAATAAAACACTCACAATGAACACCACACAGCCTGGAGCACCCACCCACGCCAGTGATAGCCTCGCGCACCCACGCGTCCGTGGTACGGGTGAAACACTCATCAACGAACTATAAGCGGTCGCTGCCCCCAGGACCTTTTTTCAGTTGTGACTACACGTACTGCTTTCCTTTAGAGTTCAGCTCTAAGGATGCTGCCTCATGGGCGTTTTGGGACAGAGGACCGCTGCCGACTAAGCCTTCACAAGACCACGTGCATTTTGTCTGCTGACAAGGGCCGTGCCCGCAACTCAGCTGCAAAGCAGGTGGTCATTAACCCACGTGCTACCCTGGCAGGGAATGGTTGGTGAAGGAAAGGTTAATATTGAGTAGAAGTCAACGGTTAGTGGGGGTAAGATTGATACCGACCACAAGTCTGCCAGCGTTCTTGAAAACGAGGGGCATCCTGAGTGGATGGGCCAAAGAAAGCGACTAAACTCTTTGTTTGCCGCAAAAAAAAAGTCCAGAAATCAGCAAGTGAGTTTGCCCCCCCCCCCCCCCGCCCCCGCTTAGTCTCTTTCTCACCGCTCCCTCACTCTCCCCCTGAGCAACCCAGCATAGAGCGCAAGGGTGAGGAGCTGCATTGATGGATTGCCGCCTGGGCGTGGCCCACCCAATGGCTTTTGCCAAAAGCTACAAATATAGGGGTCCAGGTGAGTGTGTAAGTACTGGCCCGATGCCCGGAGTTCAAAAATCAAGGGGGTCCAGAAACCTGTGTACCCTGTTCACCTTGGTTTGAAGGAAAAGCCCCATGGAAATTGGCTCCATCTCTCACTCAAAAAAGGAAGCCATCCAAGTTCACTTAGGTCCTTGGCAAGGTGATGTGCAAAAAGGAACCCTGACTTCGGGCAAACCCAAATGGTTCGAGAAGGCCTTGGCAGGATGATTGAGAACCGCGGGTCAAGCTAACCCACTTCCCGCGTCCCAGGCTTTTGGGTGTGAGAGTGGGAACACCTGAAAACTCGATGCATCGTATCTGGGCTTTTGTGGCGAATCTGGCTCCCCCATGTATTCTGCACACCTTTCTTTGAGCTGCCTTTGGGTGGCAATGACAGTGTCCCCCCGAGTTTTCTGACCCAACCTCTTCGGAGCCCCCTATTTCAAGGCAGAGCCGCCAGGGCTAAGCTTCATTTTGCGGAAGTTCGAGAAACGAAACTGCACCTAGCTCGAGCCAGGCGCCTGCGGAACGTCTTCTCGTTCAAACTGGCGCCCGCAAACCGCAGGTCAGGCCCAAGTCATGCACGTCAGGGGTGTGTAATTTTTTGGGGGACCCCCAAAATGGTGGGTTGTCTTGTTGGTTTCCCTTTACAACCGACCCAACAAGGGGGAACCCTCAAAAAATACACTGCCAGCGCAACTGTCCTTCAAGGGCTTTGCCTGTGCGCCAGACTACTGGCCAACCTTGTTTTCTTTGTTTAGTGGTTTCCCATGGTTTCCCTCGGAAGTCGGCTAACGGCTAGGATCTAGTTGCAATGTGCCCAACCAGCAGCGTTTCCAAACTGGAATGAACCGAATGGTTTCACCGAGTGTCAGTGGGCAACTGGAGTTGAGCGAGGCGTAGCAAGCGCTTGGTGCCCAGTTTTGAGGGTGGAATCCACTGAACGCCGAGGTGTTGAGCCCTGCCCGCGCGCCGGACTCCTTCGCGTCCGGGGGAGCCACGACCTCTGCGATTCACCGGCGACGTGTCTGGTTTTCAGTTCGTGCGGGGCCACATTTAAACGGAGAAGTGGCCCGCATCCAGGCGAAGGAAAATTCGTCCACCCCAGGAAATATATAAGCTGAAAGGGGGACCAAGGTGCAAACGTGTCTTTCCTTTGAGTTGGTACCCTCTTTCAGTGGTCCTTGAAGGATACATCCCTGAACACGCAGGGCTCCCCTTGCAGGTTTTAAAGGCTGACTGCTGGCTGGCTGGTGCCAGATTTGCGAGCCAGCCTGTGCCAACTTGTCCCAGTTGACGCCAGGCACCATCTCAAACTGCATTCAAAGAAACCAACACCCAAATTCCGGCAACACTTGGGTTCGTCTTCTTTGGTTCCCAAGCCAGCCAAGCCAACCACAGAGGTGGTGGATATTCTAGCTGGTGCCGAGACAAACCGAAGCTGGCTCCGTTGTTTGTTGTTTTTCGTGTTGGGCAATCGCCTTTCGCTTGCATTTGGCCCATTTTTACATTTCAACTAAAAGTTGAAGACATACTGGCCCATCATGCAAGCCAACATCACACGGCCCAAGTCGACTTGTCCAATCGTTGCACCCTCCATGGCTGGACATAAAAAGACGTTTCCTTCCTGAGCCTCACTTGCAGCCGAGTCAGCTCAGTAAAAAAAAACTGAAGGTCTGTGGCTGGAGCCCGCCAGTTGAAACGTTCTCCGGTGTGAGCCTTTTCCCCTTGTTTGCCCGCCAGCTTCCCTCCCCAACATAAACTATCCCAAACCCAGCATTGGTTTCCCCGTGCGGTTGCTGTTCCTGTGCTTTCTCCCAGCGTTGCTCACTTGTGTGCATCCTTTGGAAAGAATGATTTTCGGCTTGCCGCTTTTCTGCCATACGCGATCATAAGCAAGGCCGCGGCAGAAGAAGGTTTCTTGCGCAAAGCCTATTCTTCCTAAGGTCCTCTCCTGCAAGAAAACCATGACTTGCAGCCCAAAAGTGAGCATCTCGGTGCAGCTGCACGGCCTTTTACCTTCTTCCCGCCACTTCTCCACCCCCAGAGGCCCAGAGGCGTGGCGTGGGAGGGCGCGAAAATTCGCCCAGAGGCACCTTGGGCCGCCGGGCCCAAGCCTTCGCCCCAGCGAGCTGGGCGAACCAGTTCTCCTCGCGCCAAAGACGGATCGCCGAGATTTCTCCCAGGCCACGACCCTCCTTACTTCTTACCATGGCCATGAGACCCGTCATGCCCGTGACATCTTGCTAACTGAGTATGTTGAATATCCTAGAAGTAGTAGTAGTAGTAGTAGTAGTAGTAGTAGTAGTAGTAGTAGTAGTAGTAGTAGTAGTAGTAGTAGTAGTAGTAGTAGTAGTAGTAGTAGTAGTAGTAGTAGTAGTAGTAGTAGTAGTAGTAGTAGTAGTAGTAGTAGTAGTAGTAGTAGTAGTAGTAGTAGTAGTAGTAGTAGTAGTAGTAGTAGGAGTAGGAGTAGGAGTAGTAGTAGCAGTAGCAGCAGCAGCAGGCAAGCGTTTGCTCCTCACTGTGTTGAGACTTATAGACCCCTTGGTTTCTTAGGCGTGAGCCCATTTCGCATTGAGGGGCGGACGCGGCCGTGCTTGTGGACCATTCGGTTTCAGATACCGCCATTTTCAAGGGATAAAGTAGGCAGCCATGGAGCTGGGAACCTACTTACAAACCATGATGGTCACTGGGATTACTGGGCTGGCAACCGCGTGGCCGCGGATATAAGTTTTAACCTGCTTGCATACTTGGCTAAACATCGAGTGATGCTCCTTCAGACTTGTTGGAAGCGCCCCGGCAAGACGCCGGGCAGCTACATCATAACAAGCCTTGTTTTGAGAGACAGGCAAGGAGCGGACACCGTTTTTTCCACTGACCTTCATGGTCCTTCATGCTAGTGGATGGGCGAAATCAAATTCGCACCATTTGGAAACCATGGTTGAAACCAGAACCTTGGTTGCGATTCACCGGGAAGCTAAGATCATTCCGGTTGGGTGTCTGAACACAGGCGCGAGAAGCAAGTGGAGCACGCAGCCATCCACAGCACCTCTACGGGACCTCAGCGACGAAGCGGAAGAAACCTGTGGCCCCAGCCGGGTGCTGATGAGGAGGCGAGGACGCGTTCTCACCTCGGCCACGGAACTTGAAAACCAGAAAATGGGAACAAAACAACACGATCGAGCCGACTGCCCAGAACAGTCTAAACCTTTGCTTGCCACTAAAGTGGTTCGAATCGAATAAGCGACTAAAGTGCATGAACTCAGAAAGTGAGGATTCATAAACCCCAGTTGGCTTTGATCGGGGGTGTCCCCTCTTGCTGGGGGCTCATTGCCTTTGAAAGAGAACACCCTCTAGTACCAGATGATCCAGCGAAGATGGATGACGGAAGTTTCTAAGCGCACAACTTGCCTATAACAAATGAACCTGCTTCGTGAAGTCGGCATGGCTGAAGAGCAACTTGCACAGGGCAATATGAACAGAGCAACTTGCGCAGGGCAACTTGCATCGTCATCTTCTCACGCCTTGGCCTTGGTACGTCAACAAATTGCTCTTTTCTTTGCAGCCCACAAAAATGAACAGAACCAAGCAACACATGTGAAAACCACACCATTCAACACCAATCCTGAAGGGGTAAAAACCTCAAAGGAGCCGTCTGAACCCCATGCTTTGGGCGGCGAAAAACGAGGCTTGGGCGGCGAAAAACCGAGGTTTCCGAGCCCCCCCCCCAGATTCTTCCGGTCTCGGCGGTCTCTTCCGAGGGTCGGGTTCGGTCCGCTCGCGCCTCGCTCGGCCCTCGGTCGGCCCTCGGCCCCGAAGGACCCGGCTGGGCGCCCCGGCTGCCCAGGCTCAAGGTGGGCCCGGTGAGCTGGACGGGCAGCAGGAAGTCCGGCAGCGCCAGCACTGACCGAGGCAACGAGCGCCCAGCGCCGAGCGCCGAGCGAGCGCCGGAAGAGCCGGCAGAACTGTCAACCGCCCCGGTTGGGGGCCCCGGGCCCCAAAGCAACCCGAAAAAACCAAAGAGAACCATTCACTCATCCACTACTCGGACTCATCTAATCTAACCACCCCCGAAACAATTCCAAGGCCTATACCCTTCAGTGGTTTGATGAGTGGTTGTACACCCCATGTTCTTTTTGTTGGGAGGCAGTGGGTGCAACCTGAAAGGAAATGCGTCAAACTTGGGGGCAGATTTCCCCCCAAAAATGCCGGTAGCGGTTTCCCGGCACAAAGCACTCTCCAACCCTTGGTATGGGCGGTAGACAATGAACAGCTTGGTGTTTTTGCAGCCCACTAAAAACGAACAGAACCACACAAAACAAAAACAAAACAAACACTTGCCCACAGAAGTGAAGAGAACCTGTGCCAAAACAGGGGGAGGCCCCGAAAAATCGAACCGCTGGCGTCCCGATTTGTTGCGTCCCTTTGAGCCAAAATGTGTTCTCCTTCCAACTTAAAACCTCGCGAGTCCCAATCCCAAGCAGATGATCTCCAATCCACCAGGGGTAATACAGGCACCCCTGACTTGCTGGTGCGATACGCAGGGGTTGGAGGAACCCTAACGTTTCTGCCCTTAAATCACCTGCTTAAAGAGACATCATCCGTTCTTCGACCCCTACATTGACATGTGCCTAATACGCAGGGAATTCTGCTGAAATCATCCCCTCTGGTTTCCTTTCGCCGGCCCTTCGTGATCTTCAATGACCCCTCCTCCCATTTGGCTGTGGCTCAGAAAAAAATGACACCCAAAGGGCACCTTGGTATATGGAAACAAGCCTACCGGTGTACCCCCAGCTTCATTTCGGGAACCTGTGTCAAAATTGGGGCCCGCGAAATCGAAGCGGCGTCCCGATTTGTGGCTTCCCTTTGAGCAGCTGTTCCAGTTCTAGGTCACGCATGGCCGGAACCAAATCCAGAAATCGCACCACTTGGAAGCCATGGTTGAAACCATAACGTTGCTTGGCATTTAGATAGCGGGGAATCGAATTGTTCCAGGGTTTCTCAGGTGGTGCGAAATGGATCTCGCAACCTGCCACACCGATTTGGCTCCTTGCCCAGCCCCCGGGCCTTTGCCATAGGCCTCCGAGGCCGCATGCAGCGGCTTCAGCAGGAAGAGCGTGGACTGACGTCACCCGACTCCATCCCATCAGCCGAAAAAGCTCTTGCCATGCACAAAAATATGCCTCTTGACCCTTGGATGGAGATTTGAGTGCCTGAGAGTTGCGGCTTTTTGTCAGGGAACTGTAGCCTTGGACCCATGAAGGAAGGCCTATCCGAGTGCTGAACTCCAGCCCCTTTCGATGGGACTGCCCCCTTTCGCTTCCACCCGCATGGCCTGGGCCTGGGTGGCCTGGGTGCTGCATGGACCCAACCACCATCAAAAGCAGAAACTTGTGTTGGGTTTCCCCATATAGCTCACAGCGCCTAAATTCCAAACCCTAGGCGTCAACTAATGGTGGGTTGTCCTTCTGGCACCCCCCCGCCAAAAAAAAAAAAAACACTGGGTTCAAGGCTGAATGGTGTCCTCCGTATCTCTGGCATGAACCTCTGTTTATGGGTAAATCAACCGTTCACGGTGGCTTCTGGGAAATATAATGTTAAGGTCCAAAAACCCCAAAAAAGAGGCTACCCCCCCCCCAAAAAAAAAAATCTTCCTGGCAAAAAAAAAAATGGTACCCCCCCCCCCCCCCAAAAAAAAAAAAAAAAAGAACAAGGTGCCCCCCAAAAAAAGGCACACACACACACCAAAAACAAATAAATAAAACATGTTGGGGTCCAACCCCCCCCCCAAAAAAAAAAAAAAAAAAACAACGAGGGATGTTTGGCTGGGGCCGTGGCGTCCCGGAGCTCCATGATGCTGCTCAGGGACGTCGCCTCCCCCAGCCCCGTCTGCATCGGCCTCGCTGAAAGGAGCCCGGCGGGCGGCCGGCGACTGGCGCTGTTCGTCTACGTGGGCTGCTTCCGTGCCAAGGCGTAAAGGTTCTGAAAAAAAATGGCCCGGAGCCTCAAAGTACCCAAAAGGCGACTTGGATGTTCAACCAACGTCAGGTAAGTAGATTCTAACTTATAACCATGATGATGACTTGGGTAGCGTGCCCTTATAACCATGGTTATGACCGGCTTACTAAGTTGGTTGAACATCCAAGTAGGGCAAATCGCTTGCAGTCGTTGGTTCCAAAGGAGCCTTCGTGCATTTTTGTTAGTTAAACGTGCAACCCCGAACCAACTGAAACGGGGAAGCCAGGGGTCCAAGAAGAGGTACGATGTGGCGTGTCTCAAAGACTCAAAGATAAAGGACCCCATAAAACTGATGGTTTTCCGTTGGTTCGCACGAGGTTACCCTCAAAGAGGCGACCTTCAACGGGCAACAAACAAAGTTTGCATATTTCAGGGCTCCCAATATTTCCCCTTAAAACATCACCCCTACCAAGGGACACTCACCTTTCATGGGCCAAAAAGGTGATGGTTAAACCAAAAGGGGAAATATAGGGACCCCTGTATTTGGAGATAAATAAGCTAAATGTCTGTCCGGCGGCTTCATGAGACAAGGGCCATGTTCAGGTATTGGATTTGGAGACACATATGGACCGCGAAGAAAAACATCAACTAGCGGGAGATGGTCCCGAACCCCGCACATCCGCCTACAAGTGGTATGCGACCTCCACACCTTTAGACTTCTGAAGCACCTGGGTGGCTTGCCATCGTACATGCCACTAGTTGCCATGCTCCCTTGTCAGCGCCCCTCCGATTGGTGGCAAGGATTGGTGGTTTGGCGGTTCTCGCTTTGTGGCTTTCCATTTACAAAAAGCCCAGGAGCTCAATCCCCAAGATTCCCCAAGCCACCAATCCCAAACCACCAACTGAGGACCTGATTTTGACTGCCCCCAAATGCAAATGCCGGCTGCAGAGCTGGCATGGAGCCCGAAAGATGGGCCCGAACAACAGGCAAGGTCCACCAAACATGTCGTTTTCTGCACACACTGGAGCTGAAAGATTCACTTGGGCTCTCAATGGGGCCAGCCCCCCAAGCAAAAAGAATGCTTGGCGAGCTCTTGGATTCAACCTCCGGGTCGGCTGCCGAAAGGGATGGCCGGAACGCAGAGTGGTCAACGTATGATGAACAAAACCCCGCGCCAGGTTGGGATGGATGAAATCCCATGCCCTATGAGAAACCACCAGCGCAGAATTTTAAAGATTTTTTGTGAATCCACAAAATTCTTGCCAAAGTAGGTGCTCACCACAATGATATTCCCAGGTCCCTAGTGGGGGGGAAGAGGGGCTTGGTGCGGCTGTGGCAGCGTTCTTCCCCCCCCTCCACCCCCCACACAAAAGCAAACAACAGCACTATAACCCCTCTGTCATCCAAAGGCCATGCACAGGTCTATTTTGGGAAGCGATGCAGGAAACGATCTCGGCAAGCTGATTCCGACGAAAAATGAACGGGATGCTTGCAACAAATCAATACAGACTATGGAGAAGGCGGGCGACCCCTAAGTCCTAAGACCTTTGGGATAGGCGGTTTTTCCCGGCCCCCTTCCCCTTCCTCCAAGGTCCATGAATGCGTCATTTGAGTCAGCACATGTAAGTGTTTATATATATATATATGTATATGTATATATATATATATGTGTATGCTCGGTTGCTTTCTGCTCCCCTGCTAAAAGTTTAACTTTTAGTGATGTAGTGGAAAACCCATTAGTTGGCAAAAAGTTAAAGTCCCAACAGCCAAGCAAAATGCACCAAAGTATTTGTGTGTGTAAAGGTTTGCTTATATCAACTGTTTGCCCATTGAACTCCCGCACAAACCAAGGGCACAAATGCTAACACGTCGGCCCGCGCTGGCAGCAGCGTCGCTTTTGAAATCGGCTGCCAACTCATTCAAAGGAAGCACAGGACATTCAAAGCCTGTGCAAGAGAAAGGGTATAAAAACAACATTTGTAAAATCCAAGCCCAAGCCAAACAGGTAGAAACCAAAAACAAAGGCAGCCAAACATCAAGCCAAGCTGTGCAAGACGTAGCCAAACTCAAAACGGGGCATCTAACTGCCGTGCACTTTGGCGCCGGCATCTGGGGGTGGGGCGTGGGGTGGGGGCGGCTGAAACCGCGGATCGGAGATCTGATGAAACAAACAAAACGAAGGGAAACGAAGTAGGAGTTGCTTGCAATCAAGCGAGATCTCTACTGCTTGTGTAGGAGAAGAACCCCTTCTTTACACCGACGGGCACACCTGGTTGCGGGTTCATTCTTTTGGCGAATGGGGTTTCTCCATGAAAAACACACAACAACATCTGCACCACACAATGTTGACCATGGAAATTGATTTGCCCCTGTTCATTCATATGGGGGGTGTGCCCCTCCAAAAGCAATGAATCCTAATAAATAGGGGTTGACTTATTCTTAGTTAACATTGGGACCAAGGAAAAAGCCACAGGCCGGAGACCTGGCGCTGGACGGGATTCCCTGACCTCGCGGGCGCAGGCCCGCGCTCAGGTGATGAGGAGGTCGGTGAAGAAGGCCACGAAGTCGCCTCGCGAGCTGCGCGGCGCGAGGCGCTTTCTTCCGAGCTCTCAGCTCGGGGAGAAAAAAGGGTCTCAAGGGGAAAACGACACTCCTTGTTGAGGTTTCAAGGGAAACAATTTAGGTCCTCTAGTAGAGAGGTTGGAATAAGGGCACCAACCTTTTTCAGGACGTCTAGTTTAGTAGGGGAACGCTCCGAACCAAAAAAAGTTGATGAGAAAGGGGACTACTGGGGGACCCAGTCCGAGTTCTCAGCCCGGGTTGGCCGGCCAAAAGGTCCGTCCTCGCCTCCACGGAAAGGTGGAAAGTGCAGCTGGCATTCGACACGACCAAAGCACTGACCCCCAACGAAGCACGGTTCTTCCAAAAAGCCCGTCTCCATAGACTGCACCAACAAAAAAGGTCCTTTCGTGAGCCGGTTTTGCTCCTTTAGATTCGTTCCTCGTATTAATAGAGCTTGTCGTCTGGCACGCCACCTTCTGCCCGGCCCGGGTGACACGACGCGCCTGTGTGGTTGTACAGCACCTCAGAGCTGTGGGCATGTGCCACAAGCCAACGAATCCTGGAAGACGGCTTTTGGCAGTGAGGCCCCTTTTGGAAAACACACCCACTCACCTGTTCTCCTTTGTGTTTCAACGAGCTTCTTCATTTTGAAGAAGGAACCTGCATGATCTGTTTCGGGTTACCCAAGACTTAAACCTAGCGGTCCTAGCGGTTGGCTCTCTCAAAGGAATCAGAACCTTGGGAGGCCTTAATAATTACAATGATAATAATAGTTAAAGCACAAAAAAATGGAACCCACAACCCCACTCGAAATCGACCCTAAACTCACCGACCCAAAACCAACTCTCCGAAGTGAATTCGAACTAGGGCCCTGTGGGCAGGCCACAGCGAGACTCATGCGCACCTTTGCGTGGAAGGCCAAGCCCAGGAAACTCGGGGCCAAAGGCCTGGGCTTTTACCCCCCCCCCCTTTTCCCCCACCCCCCCACGAGCCAAAACTACAATCCGAAAAAAGGGCACGAAACTTCCCAGACGAAGAATATTCTTCAAAAAAAGACACGAATAAGGGGAAAAAGGGGGGGGCGTTTTTCCAGCCGCTGATTTTAAAAGAACACCACCCCCCTCTTAAAGGGGGCACCTGTTTTTCACCGGTCAAAAGGACGCCCCCCCTCCCACAGAACCGATCCCCGATCAGCCCGGGCGCGAGGTACCTCACCGCCTCGCACTTCTCGTCCGCGAAGGGCAAAGTCTTCTCCTCGCCGCCCCCGAGCCGCAGCCGCAGCGTCTTGGACGCCTCGGACCGCGCGGAAAGAATTGCGGGGCCAGGAGGGGGGGAAACCGGAAAGGCCGAAGAAGGCGGTTTTGGGGGGTACCCTCCTTTTTTGGGGCTGAAGGAAGACGATAGAGAAAAAAAATGAGGGGGTCCCAAAACAAAAACAACAGAAAGACAGACAGGCCCACATGGAAAATCGCTTCCCAAGGAGAAAACGAAAGACGCCCTGGACCCGAACAAGGGTTCTCGGAACTAGAAGTCTGAGAACCTTTCTGCGAATTTCACGACTCACTCGAGATGTTCCCTTGGTGTTTTAAAACCTGCGACAACCACGGCAGACCCGGAAAAAAAAGAGGCGAGGAGCTCGTTCCATCCTCCCACGTGGGTGGAGGGGCGGGGTTGAAGAGGGTGGTGCCAAACTTGTTTTCATGGGGCCTTCGCCCTCAAAAATCAAGGTGATCTCCACAACCCCCCGGAACCCGCTGAAACTCTCGAAACCCGACCTCAGGAAGAAGCACGCACTTAAAGGGGCAATCGGGTGCTTAGTAAGCGGGGAATTATGATAATCACGGTTATCACCTACTTACCATGGTTATAAGTTTCCTAAGGGGGTTACTAGGTCCTCCAGCAAAGAGGTTTGAATAAGGGTCCCTTTCTCTGTAGGCTATTTGAGTAGGGGAATTCTTTCAACCAAAAAAGAAACGGTGAGAAAGGGCACCAATTGGGGGACCTAGTTAAAAAGGGAAAATGGAACCATGAATGGAGATCCCTGTTCCCCAATTCCATTTTTAAGGTGGGCTGGTCCTCCCCTCATCCCATTTCAGTGACCCTCAAAAAAAGGGAACCCTCTAAGCATCCAATTTCGAGGCCACCTCCGGCTTCTTCCCCAAAACAAGCCCCCCGCACCCGGCCCACCCGGCGCTTGTGGCGCTCCGAGGCGCCCAGTCGAGGCGCAGAGCGAGCGCCAGCCACTGGCCATCCTCCCAGGCGCCCAGCGGCTCCGTCCTCAGCCACTCTCGCCGGGGTCCCGGGGGGTGGGAAGCAAGATGAGCGAGCCCTCCTGACTGCTTGGTGCGTTGGTTCGGTTTGATTTTTTTGATACGTTGGGGCTACGTCCCCTCGAACGGGGAAATCCCCGAACCACCAGAGGGAATGAACGGAAAGCAAAGGAAAGGAAAGCAAACGGAAGGGAAGGGAAGGATAGGAAAAGGAAGGATAGGAAAAGGAAGGAAAGGAAAGGAAAGCAAAGGAAAGGACAGCAAAGGAAAGGAAAGCAAAGGAAAGGTGGAAAGGAAATGGAAAGGGAAGGAAAGGTGGAAAGGAAATGGAAAGGGAAGGAAATGGAAAGGGAAGGAAAAGGAAAGGAAAGGAAAGGGAATTTGGAAGGGAGCAAGGATGTTAGAGGAGGTGGAGAGGAGATTTCTCGAGTGTTCACTTTTTGCGTCTTCCCTCCCTTGGAAGCCCACCCCGTCCATCACCACCACTGCCTCCCTCTTTGCCAAACGCCGCTGGGGCACCAAGAGTTCCGGGCACCCAGCACCTCCCGGCTGTTCCTGAGCCGGGGCGCCCGGCCTTTTTTTGGGGGGGAGGCCCTCCCCTCTTGGCTCACGTTGGAAGAGCAAACATGCGCATTTTTTTGCAGTCAAGTGGTTGGATTTCAACCACTAAACCACATGTTTTAAAAGAGAGAGAGGAAAAAAAAGTGAAATGTTGCCCGACAACAACCATGCCCTGGTGCTGCGGATGGTTGCGATATCGAAGAATTCGCGCCAGGGACGGAGAAAACTCGATTCAAGTGCTGGTCGCGCATTGGTTCGTTTGTCAACCCCAGTGTTCGACTCTTGGGTGGTTTCTGAATCCGGGATTGATCATAAATACTGGTTGGCAAACCATATACCAACTGGTGAGAATCGGATTTTGTCCGCCCACGGTATGGCCATTGAGGCAACAAGGTGTTGAAAGCGAAGCAACGAGGAGGAAAGGGTTCCCTTGGAACATGGAACTGCATGGCTTTCCACACGGCCCACACAGCCCAAGGCCAGGGAGCAGAAATCCCTAGAGTTGGGTTTGGGTTCAAAGGGGGCCCAAAGGCAAACCTCACGAGTCATTTTTCGGTGCTCATGACCCGCACCGAATTGTCACCCCCCTTCAACCTCAGGAACTCACTGCTCGTTTTTCCAAAAATCAGAGGCCTTGAAAAGCGACCCCCCACGGCTCTCAGAGCAACCCAAACCTCTCCCACCCGGAGGTGAATTCCGGCCACTGGCCTTATTTTACCATGGCCCAAGTCACCCGTGACCCCCGTTGAGTGGGCTAAAGGGAAACAAGCCCATTTTCCGACTCTCACAAAGAACAATGAAAGCTAGGCCGTCCAAACTGATCCCCTGCTAAAACCCGAAACCCCCCAACCGTCAACAGGGCAAGGCGCCCGTCTCTCACGAAGCTCATGAGCACCGCGGGCCTTTCCTCGGAGCCAAGGATCTCCCTGCCCCGTGGCTCACTTCTCTTTGAGGCCCAGTGGCGGTTTTTTGGTTGTTCTTCTGTTCTGTTTTTTTTTTGGGGGGGGGGCACTTCCTTGTAAAGCCAACCAAAGCCTGTGGTTGTGTTTTTGCTTCCTTGTAAAACCCCACCAAAACGACAACTGCACCAACTCAGAAAAGAAGACACACCTTCCACAGACACCATGGGACACCCTCTTACTTTAGAGGGTACCTCATGCTTTAACCAAAATGGGGACACCCTCAAAAAAACAAAGGACACGCCCCAGCTGATTTAGCGCCCGTGATCGGAAAAAGGCCGCGGCCCGGCCCGTCCAAGGCGCAGGACCCTTGTCATTGCCCAGTCCCTGCGCCAGCGCCAGCACCGCCCCGGCTCTGAAGGCCTGACGACTGAAAAAGGGGACAGAGACCCCGATGGGTTTTCTTTTTTGTCGGGGTACCCGTTTTTTGGGGGTTGGTTAGACCAAAAGAAAAGGGACGCCTGCCATTCTTTGCAGATGGGTGTTTCTCAACATCGGGGTCCCACAAATGGCTGGCTTCCTTGCGGTTTCCCTATACGTACCCACCAAAAGGGGTCCACCATTTTGAGAGATACCTCTTTTCAGAGAGCATCCCCTTTTTTCAGGCGGTTCCGGGAAAACCCCTTGTGCCACTTCGTTTTTTTTTTGGCGGGCACCCCCGTTTTCCCGCGGCTCAAGAAAGGAAAGCCCTCGTGCCAACTCGGTTCCCCCCCCCGGCAGAAAACCCCGTCGTCTCCCCAGCCTTGGCGGCCTCCGCCTTGCAGCGGTAGGACACCTCCCTGGGCCGCGCCCAGCCCAGCGTGAAGACCAAGCCGCTGGGGCCCAGGTCCGTGAGGGGGTCCTCTTCGCGGAGGGCGGTGGATTTTGGCCCCCGCTGCGGGCGCCGAAGAAAAACAAAAAAGACAGGCGTCTCACTTGTTTTCTGGGTTTGGTGGCTTGGGGGGATTCTCACATTTCTTGGCTTAGTTTTAGCCTTTCTGGGAGTTTGGTGGGTTAGTGGGTTGTGTCTGATGGCTTTTTGGGCTTGTGGAAACCCATTCGCCAAAAGTTGGATACTAATTTTTAATAGTTGTCGATAGAGGGACCGGCTATGGTGGCCTCACTTCGGTAGGTGTCAAAATTGGGGGACCCCCCAAATGATGTCCTCTTGGCTTTCACGTGAGCTCGTGTTGCCCCGCATCGTTAAGCTTGCTTTAAAAAAACTGCCCAAGGCTTCGTACAGCGAACTATTGAACTCACAAGGTCTTTCACACTTAGCGCGCCCGAAAGTTGCAAAGACCAGGACGCGCTCAGAAGTGCGTGGAGTGGGGGTGATGTTTCTGACATCGGTGCGCGCACGTCACCACTAGTGCATCCTGAGCTGGTGCAAGCAGCAAACCGCAACAGGTGATTCATCATGCCATGTTTCTACCACAACTTGGCTGCTGTTGACCCCCCTGCAAAAAGTTTAACTTTTTGGTGGTTTAGTGGAAAACCCAACTTGATTTCAACCAAAAAGTTTAAAGTCTAAAGATCCGTTGCCCAATAGCAGTTTCTAGCAAGTCCAGCGACATTCATCAGAAGCTCGGGAGCTCCATGGGCGCCTTCCACACAGGAAAACTCTTCACGACGCGGGGGGTCCGAGACGAAAAGCGGGGGCCACGAAGAACGTGTTTTGAGTCGGGGCGAGATCCATCAACGGGCGCAGACTTGCAAACCGTCCGCAAGCCAAGACAAACTGCTCCGGCGACACCACGCTTCATTGCACGTTTGGAGGGTAAGATGGAAAAGGAGACCCCCAAATCCCGAAGCCCTGTGTTCTTTTTTTTGCAACGGCCGCCAAATTTATGTGGGGCACACTGCGCACCATGCACAAAAAGCAAGCGGCTCGCCATAGAAGCCCTCTAGGCTTTGAGTCCCCCCTAGTGCCCCCTTTCAACGGCGCCCAAATTGGAAAACCAAAAGGAAGCCACCATTTTCGGGGTCGTCGCAAAAACACACCCAAGCATAGGTGGCCTTTTGGAAAAATAGATGGCCCTGGTAAATGGAACAAAACCCATCTAAACCAGTGGAACCCATCATTTTTTTTAACCAGGCTCACCTAAAAAGGACAGCTATGCACCCAGGGCCTTATTTCGGGGACTCTTGGGCCCCTGGCCATCCCCCGTCCTCGTTGGCCATCCTTACGCACCAGTGCCCCAGCGCCTGGGGATATACCCCCTTTTGTTTGCCCATGGGTCCCAAAAATTTATCACCGGCCTCCTCAATCTTCACTATAGCTGTCATGATCTCCACGATCTATTTCTTCGCGGGGGGCGCTATATATTTTGTGTCAACCAAAACGAACAAAGTGTGTGCTCCGGATGCACCGATGCCACAAGATCGCAAGCTAAGTGGCCTGTCCATTTTGCGGCCTGTCCTCTTCTCCCCTCCGGGCAAACCCACACCGCAGTCGCAAGCACCCCTGACAAAAGCCCAATCGAAAAAGACACAGGCGGCGTTAGGGGAAAGGGCAAAAGCTTCACCAACGATTCAAGTTGGTCCATGAACAAGTCCTTCTCCATCCCAAGTGGGCAACATTAGGCCACCTGGGTGTTCGGCCAAGTTAGGCGCTTCGCGCTTCGCAACCTGCTGTGAACTTGCGGGGCTGCCACTCACTCGGCCCCGCCACGCCTCCCCGCCTCCGGGTCCCCGTTGGCCTCCCGCGCCAAGCTCGGCGGCTGCTCCGTGCCGGGCCCCAGGCGCCACCGCCCGCCTCCGCCGGAGCCGCTCGCTCCGCCGAAGGCGGGGGCGCGCTCGGCGCCAACTTGGAGCGACGCCGGGTCCCAGGCCGAGAAGTTCTCGAAGAGGAAGGCGCCCTGCGCTCGACAAACCGTTCGGGAGGGGCAGCCCGCGCGGCCCCCTTTTTTCCCACGGAAAGTCGTGCCCCAAAGCACACAGGCAGTCAGTCTCTCTCCCTCTCTCTCTCTCTCTCTCTCGCTCTCTCTCTCTCTCTCTCTCTCTCTCTCTCTCTCTAGAAGCATACACACAGAGGGCGAGTGCAACCATTTAGGATTCGCAACGTTGAGAACCCCCCTCTTTTCTGCCAGGGCATCTCCTGGCTCCTCTAGATGTGCTGAAGATGTCCGTCCAAAGACCGTGTCACAAGGGAAGAAAGGTGGGCCAAATTCTTTGCGATCCGTTGCTTTGTGGGTAAAACACATGTGGCCAAGTCCTGCAAAGCACGATCTGACCCAGAAACCAGCCAACCAGTGTTTCCGAAGTTAGCACCCCTGAAAGCATTGGGGCGGAGCGATGTACATCGTCCCATCTTGCTGGCTCTCAGCGGGGAATGAGACATGGAATGACCCTTATAAACCAACCAACTGGAGCTTTCCTTTAAGGGGACCCAAAAACGGTTCCTTCCCACATTTCCCACCAGCAAGCCATTTGCCCAGCGATGAGGAAAAGAATTGGAAGGATTACTTTTTGTCCAGTCGCTTCCGCTTTTTCGGCTTCCCTCGGTTTTTTTTGGCGGTTTGGAGCCTGCTGGTTTGGTGGTGAAACGAAGTTTCTCATTTACCCTCTACGAACTCTTCGTGGGGGGCAAAAGTCCCTGGCTCACACTCGGTGAGAGGTAGCTCTAATGCCCAGCTCTTGAGACAGGAGAACCTGGACTCGGAACAGGATTGTGCTGTGCGCCGCAACCAGGGCAGTTCATTCTTATTCACCACGCGTATGCAAGAAACCATCGTGGGCGGTGCAAGCCCCCGCAAACGCGCCGTCGCTCTAATTCGCAAACGGCTGCTCACAAGTGGCACCCAACATGAGGGGTTACTGGTGAATGCAAACGAAGACCAATGCGGCTTATGTTTGCCCCGCCCAATCAGGTTAGGTGAAGATCCTCACGTTACCCTGGATGACTGGGCAACGCTAAAACCCCAAGGCTGTGGCTCAAAAAGAAATGTATCCATCAGCTGTTCTAATTTTCAGCCCACACCCAATAACCCCCCCCTCCCTGAACACCCCCCCACCATGGCACCCTGCGCTTGGCCCCAGCATCTAGGTCCTCCAGTAGAGAGGTTAGAATAAGAGTGCCCTTTTTTCTGTAGCCTATATTTTAGTAGGGGAACCCTCCCAACCAAAAAAGGGGTGAAAGAGCGGGCACCAATTGCTGGGGGACCTAGACATAGAAATTCGGAACCTCCCGCTCCGGGCCGCCGCCCCAAGCCGAGCTCCGAGCCTCCAGCACCGGTAGCCGCCGCAGCGCCGCGCCCCGCTCCTGGCGAAGGCGTCGCAACAAGTTGGCGCCCCGGAGGCGAGTTCCAAGTTGGCTTTCCGTCCGGTGGTACAGCTGGGCTGCCCGTTTTCAGATCCCCTGGATCTCCTGCGAACAGTTTTGAGCTTTCAGTGGGTTAAATGGAATAAGAAATGGAAGCCCAACCACTCAACCCACGAGAAAAAAACAAATAGAGCTAAGGGGCCGGATTTCCCATGTGCCAGCCGCCAAGACGGGTCTTCTTCTTGAACCCATCGCCAAAGGGGGGCTGATTATCCTGGCTTCAAACTAGGGATTGCACGTGGGCATATGCACTCAGCCTTTGATATTTCTGAACAATGCCGCTCCGAAATACACAAAAATGAAATGCCGACCCGGATCCTAAATAGAACCCAGTGGGCTTGTGACGTGGGTTCCCCAATTTGCCAATTTTCATGGAAATTGGGGGGGGAGGTTGGAAGTCCACAGTCCTCTTGCAAAATGGCCCCTGTCCACTGCCACGACGGCTGGAAACGACGAAATTCGAAACCGCGGTGGTTGCCCCCATTTCAGCCGTTAACGGTTGAAACTTCTAGACGCTGGTACCCAAAACCAAGCGAGCTGTTCAAATTATGACGGCTCCACAAAGGCTCTATGAAGTGTCCTTTGATCTGGGAAGCTGGATTGAAGTCCAGCTTTGTGTCAAGCTTGAACCCTATCAGTCGTCTCGGGCAATGATGGGCCAACACATCTCCCCAAATCAAAAGTTGATCAATCTACTGGCGGCTTCCATTGAACTCGATCCACTTTTGGAGGATCCAAACTTTGGGAAATGGCTCGGAACCCTGAATTTCTTTTTTGGGACCTAGTGGTCGGTTGTCCCTTGGAAAATATCGACTTCCACCTTTTTGGAGCACCTCCTCGTCTTTTTCGTTTTCCCCCCCTGGAAATCGAGCCACCTGTTCGGCGCCTCCTTCTTTTTCCACCCCCCTCCACCCCACGGCCCTCCTGCAGGTTGAGCAGCGGCAGCGGCGAGGGCCGCGGCAGGCGCCGCGGCAGCGCCTCCAAGGCGCGGCCCCAGAGCTCCGCCGAGGCGCGGCCCAGACGCAGCAGCTCCCAGGCGCCCAGGAAGCCCCAGACCTCAGACCCAGACCCTCAGACCCTCAGACCCTCAGACCCCCAGACCCTGCCCAAGCTGCTGGTGTTTTTTTTTTTTTTTTTGAGAGGTACATTTGGCGGCCAAGGGATGTTAGGACTTTATCTAAATTGGCACTGCCCACCAATTTAAACCGCTCAGGTAATCCTTAGGTGGGTATTGGACTCACGGGGAACGGGGATTCATTGTCCCTTGCTGCATTGCCACCCTCCAACTTCCCCGGGTTTTGGGTCTGTTTATGAGGTAAACGGTTCAAAGGGAAAATGAAGGAAACCCACCAGACACGGCTGGGGTTCGTGTCAGGCAACCCCCCCAGTGCGCCATGCCGAAGCCAAGGCCAGTGGGGGGTGGAGGCTCCTTTGGAGGACTGGGGTCGGCTGACGTGCGGCTTCCCTAGTGATCTGGGAGCAGGCAAACCCACAAGCAAGCAAGCAAACAAACAAACCAACCAACCAAACAAACAAACAAACCAACTGGGGATTTCTTTCATTTCGCTGAGAGGTCAGGAAGCCCCAGATCGGGACCTACCACTGAGTGCACGTGTTGTCGGCAGCTGCTTTCTCAGGATCTCTACGCAGCCGCTTGGCAACATCGAGCAAGCTCGATCCCCCAAACAGAGCTGGATTTTTGGCAGGCCCCCTGGTTTTGAACATGACAAGTCCGGCATGCCTTGAAAGGTTGTCCAGTACCACGAAAACAGCGGCCTGGAGAGCGGAGTCAGGTTTCTGGGTTTGTGGAATCGGTGTGGTGATGAGGTGTGGTGCGATGTGGTGATCAACATTCCCTTCGGCCCCAAAATGAGCATGGGTAACTTGCCCCCTTTGTGTGAGAAAGCCAAAAATCTTCTTTGGGCGGTCTCCCTGCCGGAAACCCGCGTAAAGGACCTTTGACCAACCCCCCCCCGTAGCTTTTCGCGGCGCTGTGGCCCTCCAGGTCCTGCGGGGACCTAACACACCGTGCCTTGATTGACGGCTTGAACCATCCGACCAGGCTTCAACGGGGGGAATTCAATTCTTGCAGCTCATAGGGTAGAGGAGTATTTGTTTCTGGTCTGTTTTTGCTAGGTCCTCCAGATTTGGGAGGTCAGAATAAGGGAACCCTCTTTTTCTGTAGTCTATTTCAGTAGGGCTTCACCCTCCCCGGAAAAAGGGAAAAAAAAATAAAAGGGCACTGCTGGGGGGCCCAGTCTGGTGCATCCCCTTTCGCCCGGCCTGCGCCAGCAAGCTGCCCGACTCCTCCCCGAGAACCGCCAAGGCCAGCTCCATGAAAAGCCGAAGCCGAAGTCGATGGGTGTGGTGGCCGTGGATCTTTGGCCCCGGCTTGCCGGGTCTTTGCTTGTCTTACCCCTTGAAACTCCAAGCCCTGGGGGAAGTGAATCTTTTACAGACATACAGCCCATGTTTCCCAAAAAGTTGAAAAGTTGTGTTTTTAAGAGGTAAGTTGTTTCTGGCTTCGCCGGATATCTGACCCCCAAATCGACCGGGGCCAAACCGCGGAGGGCCTGCGTCGAAGGCATTGCTGGATGCCTTTCGAACCCCCCCAGTCAAGAACTTTCTGCAGTTTTTGCTGGGGGGAACATGCTCTTCTCCCCGCGGAAAAGGTTGGGTTTGCTGGACAGGCTGAAGCTTTGCATCTCGGCTGACTCCATTGACTCGGGGCCGGCCCAGCATTCATCAATCTGGTGGAGTAGGGGGGGGGCGCAGCTGCCCAACCAGTGATCCGGATTCCCCCCCTTTGCGCGGAATCCAAAGGCCATCTGAAGAAAGAAAAATCCACCGCCTGCCACTCTACCAATCCCCCTGTCGCAGGTAGTGCCTTTCCTGGGCCTCAAGCAGCCAAAAAAAAATAGAAGGGGATTGGGATAAAGCCTGGGAGCATACTTCCGTCGCCCCTGTCACTTGTCTTGTGGCCCTGCGATGGCCAAGGCGGGCGGCTATTCTCCCTGCCTGCAGCCATAAGCCGGAAAGCGCTTTGAGCCGAGGGCAAGGTGGACTTTGGATGAACCGACGTGAATTGAAAAAGCTACTGGTCGCTCCTTGGCCCCCTCTTAGGCGACTTTGGATACCCGCTCCCAATGGCCCGGTGCCACATCTCACCCGCGGCCGAATTCTGTCATTTGAAGAAGGTGGAGAAATCCGTCCCCACATCTTTTGCTGGGTCCGAAAAACGGGGGGCTATTCATCACGCTCCCTGAAAAAAAGTTTGTTTGGATTGCTTGGAGGTTAGGATTGCTTTCCCATTTGCCCTCTGCCCAAAGTTCGACGCCACCCAGTTCGGCATTGGGGAATGCCGCCAAATGCCCAGTGGCATGGGAAAAACGAGCATCTGTTTTGGGGCCGGGTAAGTTTCAAGGGGAACCCATGCCCCCCAAAAAAACCCAAACAAATATGCAAAAAATGTAAGGCCCAAATCCCATAAGGCGAATCCCACGTTCTTGGCCCTTCCGAGCTCGCAGCCGGGCGCTGCCGCCGGCGTAGCGGTACACCTGGGTCACTTTCCGGGCCGACTCCCGGCCGCAGGGAAGCTGCCGACCGAGGAAAGGTGGAAATGACGGAAACAACTGCCGGAAGCAAGCAGGCAGGCAGGCAGGCAGGCAGGCAGGCAGGCAGGCAGGCAGGCAGGCAGGCAGGCAGGCAGGCAGGCAGGCAGGCAGGCAAACTAAAAACAGACAAGCAAGCAAGCAAACAAAACAAGCAAGCAAACAAGCAATTGCAAAAGCGAATCCCTCGCAATGCAATAGAACGCCCGGCAGAAGAGGACGACGCATCGAATCCTAAAAACGCCTCATGCTTTGCCGGTGTTTCTTCAGCTCACCTAGCCGAGTGGAGCTTCAGAAGCTTTTGGATCAGATCTCTCAGAGCGGTCAATGAGTTGCCCGTCCAACAAAAACGGATTGCGTTGCAACCGCCTCGCGAGAAGTGCTCATACTTTGCTCCCCGAACCGCGGGCCTTAGGCTTACACCGCGGGCCTGCCTGAGACTGATGGCCCTGGCACTCGGCCCCACTGGTTCCCTGCATGCTACCGAACTCGGGGCAGTCAAGACGAGCCGTGCTAAGTCCCCTTCTTCGTGGGCTTTAGATGGCTCTTGCTGCGCCTTCCCTTCCCATTCTGTCCAGGGATCCTCTCTTCGGGAAAAAAACTGTCTTGCCGTTCAGGCGCCTTCCGATTTGGTACATCAGATCTGTCTTATTTCAGCTTCCCCCTAGTTGGTGGCTTGGATTCGTGTCTTGGTGGTGCTCCAGGGTGGTTTTCCAAGGGCCCTTTGCAAGAACTAGCTGTGTCAAATCCAAATTCAAGCCACCGGGCTCCAATCCAAACCGTCAAGGGCTACCTGATTGCGGGGCTCACTGGATGTCCCTTCAAAAGCTCACCGCTCACAGGTTTTCCAAGCACAAAATGTCACAACCCAACAAAAAGCAACGCACCGCGAAACTTCGCCACTTTCGGAGGAGCCAAACAACCTCGGAAACGGCTCCGGAAGAAAAAAAACAGCTAAAAAACAAAACAACTATCTTTAAAAAACAAAAAACAACTTCACAACCAAAAAGAAAAAGAAAGAAGACACGCCGGCGGCCTTTTGGGCTGCGCCTGGGGTTCCCGGCCACCACCTGCTGGGACCTGAAGCCAAAAGCGCCGGGAGGGCAACCCAAGCCCAACCCCCCTCCCCCCGCGGGGGTTGCTACGCCTCCAGACAAGACCAGGGGGAAACCGTGGGAACCGTGGGAAACCGTGGAAAAAACAAAACAAAAAAAGAGAAGAAGAAAAGAAGCGGTTCGAAGCACAAGGGAGAAAAAAAAAGGGAATAGATGCTTTTTTGAGGGAGCGTGGTGAATGGCCCAAGGAAAAAAATGCGGTTGGAAACAGAAGCGGCCGGAAAACAAGGTGGAAGCACAAGAAGCCAGACCGCAGATTCACAGAAAGATTCCACAGTTTGTGACCGCATTGCGCCTTTGGGGAATGCCCATACATCGCGAAAAACCTCCCCCCACCCCCCGAAAAAAGACGACGGCGGAAACGTTTGAGGGGTAGACTGTGGCTTGTGTTGGTTTGTTCCCCACATCATAGTGCTTGGGGTTCTTACTTTTACCGCTCGTCGTCCGTCGCCGCTGCCTCCTCCTCCTCCTCCTCCTCCTTCCTCCTCCCGCCTCCTCACTCACTCACTCACTCACTCACTCACTCACTCACTCACTCACTCACTCACTCACTCACTCACTCACTCACTCACTCACTCACTCACTCACTCACTCACTCACTCACTCACTCACTCACTCACTCACTCACTCACTCACCTCACTCACCTCACTCACCTCACTCACTCACTCACCTCACTCACCTCACCTCACCTCACCTCACCTCACCTCACCTCACCTCACCTCACCTCACCTCACCTCACCTCACCTCACCTCACCTCACCTCACCTCACCTCACCTCACCTCACCTCACCTCACCTCACCTCACCTCACCTCACCTCACCTCACCTCACTCACTCACTCACTCACTCACCTCACTCACTCACCTCACCTCACCTCACCTCACTCACCTCACTCACCTCACCTCACTCACCTCACCTCACCTCACACTCACTCACTCACACTCACTCACTCACCTCACTACTCACTCACCTCACCTCACTCACTCACTCACTCACTCACTCACTCACCTCACCTCACCTCACCTCACCTCACTTCTCACCTCACTCACCTCACCTCACCTCACCTCACTCACCTCACCTCACTCACCTCACCTCACCTCACTCACCTCACCTCACCTCACTCACCTCACCTCACCTCACCTCACCTCACCTCACCTCACCTCACCTCACCTCACCTCACCTCACCTCACCTCACCTCACACTCACCTCACCTCACCTCACCTCACCTCACCTCACCTCACCTCACCTCACCTCACCTCACCTCACCTCACCTCACACTCACTCACTCACCTCACTCACCTCACCTCACTCACCTCACCTCACCTCACTCACCTCACTCACCTCACCTCACCTCACCTCACCTCACCTCACCTCACCTCACCTCACCTCACCTCACCTCACCTCACCTCACCTCACCTCACCTCACCTCACCTCACTCACTCACTCACTCACTCACTCACTCACCTCACTCACACTCACTCACACTGACTCATCTGGGTGTGTGTGTGTGTGTGTTTGCGTGGCATGGGCAGCATTTGGTAGCTGTCTACAGGGATTGGATGTTGTCGAGCGCGCGGCTGAGGGCCCCGTTTGCGTGACAGGCGCAGCACTTTGGGGATGGCTCGCAAATTTCGTCGCATTTGGTAAGTGTCTAAAGGGACTGGATGTTGTCGAGCGCGCGGCTGCGCAGCATTTCCTGCATCTGGCTGTACGTTTGCGTGGCATGGGCAGCATTTGGTAGCTGTCTAAAGCGATTGGATGTTGTCGAGCGCGCGGCTGGGGGCCCCGTTTTGCGTGACAGGCGGAATACTTTGGAGATGTCTTGCAGATTTTGTGGCAGGCGCAGCATTTCCTGCATCTCGGTGTACGTTTGCGTAGCCTGGGCAGCATTTGGCAGCTGTCTAAAGGGATTGGGTGTTGTCGAGCGCGCGGCTGAAAATTCCTTCGACTACTTTTTTTCGCAGCCGAGGTGATAGAAGCGAAGGGTCAAGGCTAACATTTCAGTTTTCTTACACGGGCAGTCCTTGGAGGCGTCATTTCGGCAGCTATGCGTGGTCTGCTTGCAGCATGCATGTACTGACCTGCCTGAGCAAAAAGAAGAGAGCATGCTGCGCTAACAAAGTGTCTACTAGTGACCGAGCGCTACCCCGTGGCCACTCACTCACTCAAAATGCGCATGTGGGGTTATCCGGTCCTTTAATTATTGCCTTGACTTGCTTGCGTTCTCAACATTTGTCGCGTTGTTTAACCTATTGCCAGGCACCGATGGACATTTGCATCGATGGGTATGGGTTGGGTTCGACCACGTCCTGGATCATCCGATGGGTGTTGGACGGTCTCCCATGATGCCACTCAAGTTGACCAGAATCAATGAGCAGCCGTGCCGCTGGCAGGCTGGCAGCCTCATGCCAAAAGACAAAACTGCCTGGGCAGAGGAGTGCCCGTGGTCCTTGAAAAGGCGGAGCACAAGGAATCCTCGACCCCCAGTTGGTGTCCTTCTAAACTCTCTTTAAACCCAGAAATATGGACACCCTACACTGAAAAACAATTCATCGCCTTTCAGTCCCTTGAGGCCATTCCAAAGAAAGCCCACCCCCGCCCAAAAAAAAACAAAAATGCAAAGCAACCAAAACACGTCTGTGTCTGTGCGCGTTAGAAACAACAAGTTTAGGGGTTGATTCCCATTCCATTCTTTTCAACCATC